ACAACTTCCCCAAAAAAAATGAATAAAAAAAATGGGACAAGTTTTACAACTTTCCCAAAAATTAAAAAGAATAAAAAAAAATGGGACAAATTTTACAACTTCCCCAAAAATAAAAAAGAATAAAAAATGAAACAAGTTTTACAACTTCCCTAAAAATAAAAATGAATAAAATAAAATAAAAAGATAGAAAAATGAAGGTAGAATCTATAACTATACTAAAACAAAGGGCACTCAAGCTACACCTTAACACATGTCCCTCTATGCTTAAGAACTTTCCCGCTCATTTTTCCACCTCTAAATATATCAAGTAAAATTGTGACATCGCAATATACTATAAATATGTATATTCATATAGCTAAAAAAATATATTCTTGCAAGGCAAAAAATATATTATTGCAAGGCAAAAAATATAGTATAATATATTCATTATATTTACAAAATAACTTTACAAAATAATCTAACATAATATATTCATATACTTACAAAATCAATTCCTCCTTATTATAACTAATTAGATCAATTATTAAAATATTTCAAAAGTTCACTTAGATATTAAGAGATTAACTCACTTTTTAAAAGATAAACTAGCCTACTTATAAGATCAATTATTAGAAGATTTTAAAATATCTTACAAATAATTTAGATCTTATGTGACAAATTGCATAATATTTTTTTATCTTAAATTATACGTGCAATTTTATTCAAAAAAAAATTATACGTGAAATATGTGACAAATATGCAAATATACTTGAAAGATATTATAAATAATAAGTATATATTTGATATGAAAATCATAAGGAATTTTCTAACTTTATTCAAAAATTACTTCATATTATAATATAATCACATATATAATATCAATAATCATATTTGTAAGAAATCAACTCTCTATGACTTAGTTCAAATTACAACTACAAGTAGAAATATATACTAAAATACATTGCGACTAAATAAAATAAAAAATAATACAAGCATAAATATTGAAGGAAATAAATAAATATAGCTCTTTACTTATACAATGAATGAAAAATATTATTCTGTATTTATATATTGAACATATCGTTTCAATTATGGCTACAAGTAGAAATATATACTTAAATAAATTGTGACTGTCCTTCAAAAAAAAAAACAAAAAAAAAAAAGGCTACAAGCATAAAATATTGAAAGAAATAAATATAGTTCTTCACTTATATAATGATTGAAAAATTACTCCATATTTTATAAATTGAATATATCTATCAATTATTAGAAATTTAGAACACATTTTGGACCATTAGAACAAAAGGCACTCAAGCTACACCTTGACACTTGTCACTTTATGCTTAAAAAGTTCCTACTATTACCTCCGCAATAAATTTGATGATAACACATTGTATATTATTACGTTGATATATAATTTTCGAAGAATTGGATTTGGGTTTCATTCTGTTTCCTAATATAAAATCAAGAAAATCCACAAAAAAACCGAGGAGCTGCAACAAGGCGTAACTTGAGATAATTCTTGAGCCTAAATTGGATGATTAATTTATTGAAATCTATAACTTGAAAAAGGAATTGTCGAAAAACACTGATTGTGGATTTGAGAAAATGGGGCTAACATGCGGCTGAGTTTGCAGGCTGATTTTCAAATTGGGTTTTGATTTTACATGTTCAAGCTAGGACATACGTAAGTAGAATGATTTGGTTATTAAGATATGATTTTGAAGGTGAATAGTGGGTTTGATCTTTATAGGGAGACCTTATAAGAGATTGGAAAATGTGGGTATCACTGTGTGTGACACCAAGCAACTTCAAGTGTCTAGAGTACTGATATGATTTTTTCATGATAATGATGAAGATGCTAAGCTACTATATTAGATACATTAAATTGTTAATATATAATATTAAAGTTTTAATATCAGATACTCCATATTAAACTTTTGATACCAAATATTAAAATTAAATCTTGATATCTGATATTAAAAAAATTGATATCAATATTTAATTGTTGATGTAAGATATTAAAGTGTTGATGTCAAATTTTAAAATATTGATAGATAATTAGATATATGGTTTACATTAAATAGATATATCACGATAATTTTTTATTTATATTGGTGTAACTTTTGATAATTTTAGGATAAAATGTACAATATGGACGTTTGTAAATTAGATTTTTTTTCAAAACTATGACAACCTTATGGAAAGAAGAGAGTATGTTTGATTAGCTTGATTTAAATAAACATACACATAAAGGGTAATACATGAGACATGTAAATAGGCATATATAAATCATTTTGATTAAAGGTATAATATAATCGAAATATATAAAGGCCATAAAACTTATTATTCATATCTTTAATATGTCTATTTTTTTAAAACATTAAATTGAAAATATCATAATGAGTAATTATTGTGATAAATGGTTGTACATTATTGTGATTTATATTGCTGTATAAGTTTTCAATATTGTGAATTAAATTCAAACAAATTTTATATGTGGCTGGCCACACTGTGTGGTTAGGGTTACTCGAGTTATTCGATCAGGGGTTACTCGAGTTACTCTGTTAGGGGTTATTTGAGGGGTTCAGTCAGGGGTTACTCGATTAGGGTTTACTTGAGGGGTTTGGTCAGGGGTTACTTGAGGGGTTCGGTCAGGGGTTACTTGAGAGGTTCGGTTAGGGGGTAATTGAGGGGTTACTCGATCAGGGGTTACTTAAGAGGTTTGATCAGGGGTTACTCGGTCAGGGGTTACTTGAGGGATTTTTGTTCAGGGGTTACTCGATCAGGAGTAACTCGAGTAACCCTTGACCGAGTAACCCCTAACTAAGTTGCTCGAGTAACCGTGGTCACACGGTGTGGCCAGCCACACAGAAAAGTCCCCCATTAAATTAAATATTGATTAAATTTTATAAAATTTAGTATTTGAACTGTTAAAACCGTGCAATTGCACGGGTTCTATACTAGTTTTATTAAAAATAAAACGCTAAAGAGAAGAAGAGTTCGAATAAAACTCCTAAAAATCGATTTAGGGTAGACGGAAGATAAAAAAAGCAAAAGAAAATCCGGAATAAGAGGGGTCAAGGATAAAATTTGATGTTGATTTTGTGTCTGACACGTAACTGCTGCCGTGGCACGGTAGGTTTTTCCGCGACACAGTGCTTGTTGCCATGGCACGGTGATCCTACCGTGTCACGGAATTTTTGCGCATGCAGCTGGATAAATTTTTTTCGTTCCTAAACTTTTTTTTGCTATAAATTTCGACCAGTAATTCGTCATATGCATAATTATGAAACACAAAATAACTAGAATTTCATATTTCAATAACAATGTCTCAAAACTCTAACAACACCATGCTTGATTGGTCATATTCCTTGACCAATGTAGAAAAAAGAGAGCTAGAAACATTCTTTACCAGAGGTGTCTTAGCATTAAGGCACGTAGCAATTGAACATGATTTTCTAAGAGTGACCTTGGATTATTGGAATCCTGAAACACATTGTTTCAAGTTCAACTATGTTGAAATTTGTCCTGTGCCGGAAGAATTTGGTGCTATTTTTGGCTTCCCTGCTAGATTCCTTGTTGCAATGCCTACTCAGCGTGAGTACTACTACCATAATTTTGAGCGTCACCTTAATCTGACAGGCGCAGACTTGAATAAAATTGTATGCGGTGGTGAAGTAGATTTGGTAAAGCTTGAAAATTTATGTTTAATCGTCTTGTTTTCGAATCATGTCATGTATATCGTAGAAGTGCTTTTAATTTTTGCATGTTTAGCAAGCTTTTATTTGCAAACGATAAAGTAGGACATGCTAGTCTAGTTTTTGTGCTTAAGCATGTTGAATCTGGAAGATACCCTATGCCTACTTGTCTTGGAGAAACACTGTGTGGTTTTGATGAAGCGAAATCTGATCCAAAAGCCATCATGAAGGGCTCTCCGGTACTATTGCAAGTAAAAAAATAAAATTCTTGATCCTGAAGAATTATTTTTTAATGCGACACTAACCATCTGCCTTTTTTTTTTTGTTGATGGAACGTTTAGGACTGTTTGAAGCCCCGGACGATATCGGAAAATATGGTCCCATGATCTTGTTCGTAGGAAGAAAATCTACTCTGCGAACATGTCTTATGATGACTGGAAGGTGTTCTTTGCCAAGAGGGAATTTTCCCTTGGGTGGGTGGTGCCGTGGTGGAGGCTTACTAAGATGATTGGGACGAATGAAATCCATATTTTCTCATTTCTAGCCTTTCAAAATTGACTTTTTATTATCCTTCCCGATTGATGCAACAATATGGACTTGAACAAGTAGTTCCACGTCATAATGATAGTCCTCGTGAAGTATCATTGTATGAAAGTAATGTTCACAAATTTGAGGCATACTGGATTGAAAGACCAATACGGACTGTTTTTACGAGCGATCAACCTCCTCCACCCTTATCTAGTGAGTACAAAGCTTGGTTGAATCCTAGAAGTAGGAGGGAACGAGTTGGATCACAAAAATATGATGTGAAGGGATGACTTGGAGGTAAAAGGGTGTCCCCCTAAAGATCGTCTTGGTCCGAGATCACAAGGAATTGAGTTTAAGACTCCTATCATGCCTAGGAAAAAGAGTTGGGTAAAAGGAAAGGGTAAAGAGAAGATGGTTTATAGGGAGAAGCGACCTAAGGATTATGAATGAGGTGAAAGGGGTGAAAGTTAAACTAGAGGTGTGACGATTTGAGCTACTAACACTAGGCGAAAATACAAATGGGCACCGGTTCAAAACCCCCATTTAGCACCAGTTTTGAACCGGTCCTTATTTGAGGGATGCCAAAAACCAAAAGATTTGGCATCGGTTCAAAACTAGTGCGAAAACTTAGATTTCGCCCCGGTTCTTGCTGTGAACCGGTGCAAAAAAGACCCAAAAAAATAAAAAACTTTTTGCATCGGTTATGTTTTAAACCGGTGCCAAAAATGCCCCAAAAATTTATAAAAAAATTTTTTTTTGCGTTTTTTTCATTAAAATTGATATAGAAACACTAACATATATATAAAGTTACATATTTTCATTAACAAAGGTTGTAATATTACAATTAACCTGCACTTCAACATTTATAGTCTACAATTCACCCCCCCCCCTCTTGTAGTAATCGAACTATTTTTTGCTGTATAAGTTAAGGTTGGAAAAGGGCAAACCATTGGGACCTCCTTAGATCATGAATGAGAGCTGGACTTTCCAGAAAAGGACAATGTCACAAGAACATGCCCACATAATCAAACTCTTGACAATGTACCACAATTCTGTTAAGCAAATTTGATGATCAAGTCAGCAACTGAGCTGGGTTTTTCTACATGAGGGATACGGCCACAATCTGGTATTTGACGTAATTTTGCATCTTGCAGCTAACCGTGCAGTTTCTGCAAATTATCTACCAATTTCCAAACATTTGTCAGAATCATCTTCGGTTTCATGTTTATGAAAGATTACACCCAAAACCAAACAAAGGACAAGAAAATTAAGTAATGCAACACTTTTGCAATCCATTTACTTCCCTTAGATACAGGTACTGGATGCACATACAAAAGAATTGGTTTATATAAGTCACTCACAAAGAATTCTGAAACTAAATGGATACACATATAATTGAATCTCGTTCTATAAAATTCACGGATAAATAATCATCTCAACATATTTTCTGAGTATCAAAGACACAAAGCATGGAATAGCTAGCTCACTTGTAAGTATGTAACTATAAGATATACATGACATGCTCACCAATGCTAGCTTGTAGCTGATAATCTTGTCATCCTCGCCCCATATTATAAGTGTCTGCTGCTTTACCTGTCAAACCGAGTTATAGAAACGAAATTGTAAAAAAAATTATAAGTTGTCACGTTCCATGTCCTTAATAATATAACCTATCATCATCATCATTCATCAATCATCCTTTCTAACAAAACTATAGTAACAATAGCTAAAACAGTAAAAGAACAGGCTTAAGAAAAAAATATAAAGAGAAGAACCACCCAGGAGAGGGGAGGACAGGGGAGAACCGATGGAAAATTTGTTCCCATTATTTTGCTAATAAAATAATGGGAACAAATTTTCCATCTCGACAAACATATAACCAAGAAACACTAGACTACTAAAAGAAGTACATAAAGAAAAGGCAGCCACAAAAGGTTAACAAAATTATTTCAGCCAAATCAAGCTCCGCCAAGGCTAATAAACCTTGGGGGATAGAGTCAAGAAATACAAAATCTGAACCAACATTGTTATTTCGAGCCCTCTATCTATGTGAAAAGGAAGCAATACATCATTTTATTATTACTTCTCTTATGTTTATGTTTCTTGTTCATTTTGATAAGCATCTCTAATATAATTTGTAGCATTCGTATCATGAAGCAAGTAATCCTGAAAAAAGTTCTTAAAAGGAAATACAGATTTGCAACTGCAGCATGGATTCACCTCAATCCCGAAACAAAGAAAATCAAAGCAAAATGCACGAAATTAACAACAGTACTTCTGATTTATGGAACCCTAACTGAAGATTTAGGGTTTTGATCCATCAATTGAGCATCAAAAAACAGTGTGAACCATCAAATTTTCAACTAGGTATTCCTCAAATCTTGTAAACCCAATTCATGGAACACAAAAAGTGAACATTCTTGAACAAATCGACCAAAAAATCCAAAATAATTCCAAAAAATTGAAAACCCCTAGTTAAGTTGAAACAGAGTTAGAACTTGATAAAACTAACCTCATTGTGAATCCCGAGGAAGCAAATCTAACCTTAGAGACTGCTTCAATGGAGGAGAGAAAGCTCAGAAAGTCCGAAGCCACTCCAATGGAGAATTTTGAGTACGCTCCACAAACCAAACCCTGCAACACATTAGCAACCAAAATTGACTCGATTATCAAACTAGACTCCAAAAATTATGTTAAATTCTTCGACTATCTATAACCAATAGTTCAATTATCCAACTTCGAAGAACCCTAAATTGAGTATATAGTGACAATTAATTAATTAAATTAGGTCAATGATTAAAGAAAAAGAAGCATCTAACCTTTGAGACTGCTTCAGTGGAGGAGAGAAAGCTCAAAATTAAAGCCCCTTCAATGGAGAATTTCGAGTACGCTTCAATGGAGGGGAGAGAGAGGAAAGAGAGGCAAATGAGAGAGAAGGAAAGATCGAGGAATTGAAAGAGAAAGAAAGAAGATTATAACCGGGTTTTTTTTTATTTTACAATAGCTTTTGAACCGGTGCGATTTACTCACTTTTCGCACCGGTTTGGTTAGAACCGGTGCGAAAACTCTTTCCCTCAATCTCGCCTATTTTTTTCGCACTGATTTTTTAAAACCGGTGCGCATTTGGCGGTGCCCATTTAAGTTTTTCTACTAGTGTAAAGACACACTAATGGTGAAGGCTGACATGGTTGAGAAGAAGAAAGAGATTCCTAAGGCAAGAAGGAATTGATCAATATTGCTTTGTTTTAATGATTTAAGTTTTAATTTTAAATAAGGTGTATGATGCCAATAGTTGTAGTGCCATTTATTTTATTAATAATAGCATATTTATTTTTGCCTTAATTAAAAATTACAATGACTATTTCCTTCTTTTTTTTAATTATCTGAGTCAAGAAGTCGGACGCAATGGAAGAATAATAATAAAAATAAACGTCGAACAAAACAAAACTGCAAGTTTTTCGCAAAAAATGGATTGTCGTGTCACGACATTTTTGCCGCGTCATGTTAAAATTTGTCGTGTCACGGTGCTGGTGTCGCGTTGCGGTTCTTCTTGTCGTGGCGCGGTGCTTGCTGCGTTGTGCGATTTTCAATTTTTGATGTTGTGCTTCCTCGTTTGCTGTAATTTTGTTGACAAAGAAGGGATTTGATTTTTAAATTGGTCGTGCCCCCTTGGGGGGTTGCCTACGTATCCTTACAAAGGAATCAAGCCAAATGTATCTCTATTGGGTCTAAAACCCGTGCAATTAAGCATAAAATTTCTTGAGTTGATCCAAGTTGGTTAAACTACTGTAAAATTTCACAATGTACGGACCTGACCAGTTTGGTCTAAATTTTCCTCTTAGATCTAACACATTTTTGCGAAGTGCTTTGAGTACCAAATCGCATTCTTTGATATTCCTAGTCTTGAATTTTTTATTGAAATGTCGTGCAATACGCATTTGATAGGTTTGGACATGATGCAAAGCTACCAAGTATTTTTCATCAAGTAAGACTAGTTCATCATATCTTGCTCTAATCCAATCGACTTCGTCTAGTTGGTTTCCTAAAGCAATCCGTAGAGATGGGATCTCTGGCTCGATTGGTTGTACGGCTTCAACTCCATACACTAAAGAGAAGGGGGTGGCTCCTGTTGATGAACGAACAAAAGTTCGATAACCCCAAAGAGCAAAATGTAGCTTAGCTTGCTTGGCCAATCTTTATAATTTTTCGTCATCTTTTTGATGATGGTCTTTACGTTCTTGTTGGCTGATTCTGCCACACCATTAGTTTGTGGCCTAGAAGGCGATGATCTGTGATGTTTGATATGGTATTTCTTTAATATTTCTACGCACTCGACTTGGAAATGCGTCATGTTATCACTGATCATTTCGTGAGGCACACCATAACGGCATATGATGTTTTTCTCTATGAATTGAGCTACATGTGTTGCGTTGAGCTCAGCATATGAAGCAGCTTCGACCCATTTGGTGATGTAGTCAATTACTACAAGGATGAACTCATGTCCTCATTGTCCTGGCGGCGTTATCTTCCCAATGATGTCAATTCCCCAAGTAGAGAAAGGCCATGGAAAGGTATATGTGTAGAGGAGTGATGGTGGAACATGTTGTAAATTTGTGTAGATTTGGCACTTCATACATTTCTTAACGTACTCGTGACAATCTTTTTCCATGGTAGTCCAATAGTAACCTTGTCACTGAATTTACTGGACTAACATTTTTGCATTCATGTGCATTCCACATATTCCGACATGAAGGTTTGCCATTGTATTATGTGCTTCCTTCTTAGTTATGCACAACAGGTTTCTTCCCAGTGCGGTCCTCTTATGGAGTTTTCCCCTGATGAGCACATACTGTGAGGCCAGGAGCCTCAAAGCACGCGTGCCCTTTAATCAATGTTGGGAGGTTACTCTCCCTTTGTCACATAGTTAAGGATGTTTGTGTACCACGACTCTTCGTCTTCTTCTTGCGAGTCTTTTTCATCAAGTGCATGAACATAAGCCGGCTCGTATCTTTGTTCTATGGTCAATGAAATTCTAATTGTATCCCTTGGGATTTGGACCATTGAATCCAACTTAGCTAGCGCATCAGCGAACTGATTATCTTCTCTGGATAAATAAGTGTATTCCACTTCATCTAATTGCTCCGTGAGAGTTTCCAAATGAGCTTGACACATAGCAAGACTTTCACTTCTCACTTTCCATCTCTTAGAGATTTGGTTGATGATTAGTGAAGAGTCACCATAAATTCTTAGCTTCTTGATTCCCAAAGCAATAGTTGTTTCTAATCCCAAGATGCATGTTTCATATTCTGCAGCATTGTTGGTGACGTCAAAATCGAGCTTCATAGAAATTGGGATGTGTTGTTCGTTGGGTGATACTAGTAAGACTCCTACCACACAACCTTTTTGGGTTGAAGCTCCATTGAAATAGAGCGTCCAACTATCACCCTCAATCATAAGCAAGTCTTCATCAGGGAAATTTTACTCTTCTTCCGCCATCTCAGGTTCTTCTAATGGGAAATCTGCTAAGAAATCGAAAACTACGGAACCCTTGATGGCTTTTGTGGAATGAACTTCAAGTCAAACTTAGCAAGGTTGACTGTCCACCTTGACAATTTGCCGTTGGGAGTGGCTTTCTCGAACAAGTATTTGAGAGGATCCATCTTAATACGACATGCACCGTATGGGTGAGCATATAATGTCTTAGCTTCTTTACGGCCCACACAAGTGCGAGACACAACATTTCGAGTGGTGTATACCGGACCTCATAGCCTTGAAGCTTCTTACTCAAGTAATAGATTGCAATTTCTTTGCTTTCAATTTCTTGTGCTAGCATTGCCCCCATCGTTTCTCTTGTGACCGTAAGGTAGAGTAGAAGAGGAATGTCAGGTATCGCGGGTGCTAGCACAGTTGGATTCGCCAAGTATGTTTTGATCTTATCGAAAGCTTTTTGGCATTCATCATCCCATGTGACTGGGACATTCTTTTTAAGATTCTTGAATATAGGTTCACATACCATAATGAGTTTGGATATGAACCTACTTATATATTGTAACCTTCTAATGAAGCCTCAAGTTTCTTTCTCAGTCTTGGGTGGTGGCATGGACATGATCGCCTTGACTTTTGTGGTATCTATTTCAATTCCACGACAACTGATCACATAGCCTAGGAGTTTCCTTGATGTAACTCCAAATACACACTTTGTTGAATTCAATCTCATGTTGTACTTGCGAAGTTGTTTAAAGAACTTGCGGAGTGCAATGACGTGGCCTGGTCGATCTTTTGGTTTGACGATCATATCATCAACATAGACCTCCACTTCGTTGTGCATTATGTCATGTAACAATGTTGTTGCTTCTCTTTGGTACGTGGCACCCGCATTTTTCAACCTGAATGGCATTACCGTATAGCAATATGTACCCCATTGTGTGATGAATAGGGTTTTCTCCATGTCTTCTTCGGCCATCAATACTTGATTATACCCGGCGTACCCATCCATGAAGGAGAGGAGTGCATGGTTTACTGTATTGTCAACCAGAATGTCGATGTGAGGTAGAGGGAACCCATCTTTTGGGCTTGCTTTATTGAGATCTCTGTAATCAACACACATTCTGACTCTTCCATATTTCTTGAGAACTGGAACCACATTGGCAATCCATTCTGTATATTTGGACACTTTGATGAAGCCTGCAGCTAGTTGTTTCCTGATCTCTTCTTTGATTTTAAGGGCCACATCAGGTTTCGGGTGTCGCAGCTTTTGTTTGACGGGCTTCATACCTGGAATGAGTGGAATCGTATGCTGAGCTATGTCCCTGTCAATACCTGGCATATCTTGGTACGACCAAGCAAATACATCAACAAATTCACTAAGCAAGTTAATAAGTTCCTTACGTTTGTCAAGACTTGGTGTTAATCCAATTTAACCTCTTTGAGAGTGGTGTCATTGGAAATATTAATTGTTTCTGTATCTTCAACTATTGCAGTTTTATAATCGTGCTCTTCCATTGCTTTTATTAGTGCTTTGTCATTTTCATCATTAGCAAAGCAATATTGATCGGGGTTAGGGGAATGGCACGCATCGTAAGCAAAGGTACTCATCTCATTGAATTCATTAACCATTACATCAAAGAGGGCAAGGTCAACTGCAACCTCACCAGAATTATTGGGGATAGATAGAGGAGACTCAATAATAGGAGGAACTACAGAAAAAGACTCAATAGCAGATACGGGTTCAATCTTAGATCCTACAAGCTCACAAACAGACTCGGACTCGAACTCATACGATTCAGATTCATCAAACATGGGTCCTTGCCCAATGACTTCCACCTTCTCTCTACTTAGAGTAGTGATCTTCACAGTTTTGCGCCAATCCTTCAAAACACCTTCAGCCAAGACAATGAACTCAGAGGGGTCAAAGTCCTTATTTGACATAACAGCCTGGATGAGCGCAGATTTATCATTGTCGATGCGTCTGGGTTCATTCATCTAGAGCCCAAAGAGAAGGCTAGTAGCCATTTCACTAGAGCCTGGACTAGTTGGTTTCTCAGCTGTGGGAAAATATCACTTTCATCGATGAAGTCACAATCCATGAAGACCTCAAATCCTGGCTCACGCCTCCCATTGCAGATGAAAGGTTCAACAAATTCATAGCACGGAAAATCTTCCCCTTCCTTGATGTACTGGCCATTGAGAGTGAGGGGATAAGGATCCATAGGCATTTCCGTATTCATGACACGAGCTGTGTTGCGAGCAACCATCTTGGGCACAACTTGCTTCATCTCTTCTTTCGTTGGCTTGAATCCCAAGCCAAAGGTGTCCTTCTTGGGTGCACCAGGGTACCCCCAAAGTTCAGCCTTTTTCTTCTTAATTCCAAGGGTCATTCCGAGGATATGCCCTTATTTCTTCATGATTGCATTGACATTGACATTGGAATAAGGATCGAAGTCGAGGTGGCACTTCTCTTCTTCCTCGATCATGAGAACATCTTCCAAAGAAAAGCCCCAAAGATCCTCATCTTCGTCATCATGCTCGACATGGACAATAGGGGTGTCGATGACGTGGATGCGCATAGGAGAGATCTCAATAGTGATTGGAATCCCTCCAACTATTGCTTTGACTTTCAGGTGCAGTGATGAAGGGATTGCCTTTAGCTCATGAAGCCAAAGGCGTCCTAGCAATAGATTGAAAGAAGCCTTAATATCCACCACTTGAAACTTGGTGTCACGTTCAATGGCTCCAATAGTAATATTCAACATGATAGTACCCACGACTTGACGGCGAGTATTATCATAAGCTTAAATCCCTTGAGTAGAGGGAATCAATTATTCATCTCTTATGCCAAGCTTCTTCGCAGTGCGAAGAGGGCATACAGTGATTGCCGAGCCATTATCAACTAGGCTCATAGGGACATTCATTTGCCTGCACACCACATTAAGGTGCAGTTCCTTGTTGTGTTGATCCTCTTCTGGGGGTAAATCCTTGTCAGAAAAAGAAATCAGATTGTTTGTGCTTGGTAATTTAGTAGTGAGAAAGTTGACTAGCCCTTGAGGAGTCATGTCAATATCAACTCCTATCTTAACAAGAGCTTTCATCACAGCCTTTCGATGCTCAGGAAGGTAGCCAAAAGCTTCCACACATTCATTTCCACCTTAGTCTTTTGAAGTTGCTTGATCACATCGTTGCTTAGAGGGTCAATGGGATCAACTACTGGTTGTGCTTGTGGTGGAGGTGTAGGTGGACCAGGTTGTTGTAACCTTCCGATCCGGATGAGAACCTCAACTTCGAGATCACCCCATCACTAAATTCATAACTGGTGGCTCCAAGAGATAGACGTCTTCATCGTCCCTATCCCAAATTCCATTAACTTATTCATAGCTTGAAATAAAAATAATTTCTAGAAGAGGCTCATCCACAGATTGGATGAGTAGCAACGAATCAAAGGAGATCTCATCTCTTGTGATAGTCAAAGCATCAGAGAGTGTACCTATTTAAATATTTGGCTTCTTGGCCCTTGGAGGGACAGGAAGTTGATTAGCATCAGGATAGCATCCTTCAATTTCTAGCATTGTTTGGAAGTGTGACGCCTACCTTGGTGAAACTTGCAATGAGCATTAGGTTCATAGCTTGCACTTCTATTTTCAGGCTTGGGCTCTGGAAATGGCCCAATAGGCATAATCAATCCTTGACTGTGAAGGCGATCAAAAGCAGTATCATAATTCATTCCCAAAGGTGTGTAAACCCTTCTTTTCCTTTGGAACTTTTGTGTGGGAGCATTGAGAGCCAACACATCATTGAGGTTGTACTGCCTAATGTTGTTGGTAGCATCATTGGGCATAGAAGACGAAGAAGAAGGATTGTCGTTCTTCTTGTTTTTCCAAGTATTGTTATTGTTACTGTTACCAGCAGTCTTGATCAGCTCATCTTCGATTTCGATGCCCACACTGTATACAAAGGTGTTCAAAGGCAAGAACCTAAGATGTTGCTTGTACTTGTGAGTCAGGTTCTCGGATAAAGAGGCAAACCATCTCCCTTTCTTTAGGGGGATCCACCAAGAATGCAGCTGTTTCCCTCCACCTGTTCAAATAAGCGGTGAAGCCTTCATTCTCTTTCTGTTTGAGAATGGACAATTCATGTTAAGAAGTTCTAGCTTGAATGTTACATTTGTAATGATTCATATAAATCTCAGTAACATCACCCCAAGTTGCAGTATACTTGGACTCCAGATAATAAAACCATTGCTAGCAAGCATGCTCCAAGGAAAGAGGGAACACTATAGGGAAGAGTGCCACATCTAGTCCTTTAAGAGTCATGGTTGCAGAGAAAGCCTTCAAATAGAACATAGGGTTGTCAGTAGGCTTGACTTCGGTAAGCCAACAGTGGAGAAATTTTCAGGGAGCTTGCCTTTCACAGCCAAAGCAGTGGAAGGTTGTTCCACGTAGATGAAATCTTCATAAATTTTGCTCACTTTTTCTTTCAGCTTGTCAACTGTAGCAACAGTGACATTTGTTAGTTCCATGGTAGTGACTTTGGTAGTAAGGGATTGCATCATGGCAGAAAGTGCCTCGATGGACTTGTTGATTTGCTCAATATCTTCCTTACTAGCCATTAGAGTGTAATGAAAATAAATTGGAGATGGTGATGGAGATGAGCTTTGTGGAGACGATGGTGGTGGTTTCCTTGCACGCCTCTTAGGTTTAAGAGATTGTTGTGGTAGTGACTCGAACCGTACCAATCTACCCTGCTTCTTGACCAAGCGCTGCGATATTGAAACAAACGCACCTTTAATGACTTGACTCAACCTTGACCCATTCGAAAAGTAAGAAAGAAAAGGGAAATAAAGAGTTTCGAAAAAAAACTCGTGAGTGATTAAGTGAGGTTATGAGACGCGTGTTACGATTGTACAGCTAGACGCGACACTAGGCAAGACGCACAAACCAAAGAAATACGCACGAAAGACCAAAAAAAACTAACAACAACATTCCTTGGATACCGTGCCATAGTACAACTATCGTGGCACGGCAAGCTGTACCATGGTGCGGTATAGCCTATCGTGACACGGTACTCAATTCCAGGTTCAGCTCGTGATATTTTTCCAGTTTTATTTAATTTTAGGGTCCGTACTAATACTATGTGGAATAAAAACCCTCGGTCATACGTTAGTCAAAACAACAAGATGAACAAACACACTTGGGGTTAGTAACACGACAATGAAGCCAAGTAACACTTAGTCACGATGATGCAATGAAAAGTTCACAACCTAAGGTCAAATTCTATGTTCCATTATGGTCAAGCTTTTTGGTGTCAACAGGGTACCATGGTTAAAAGTTTAGACGCGTTAGCAACGCAGCCTCCCTTGAGGGTGTATGCCAATAGGCGGGTCTTCAAGTTCGTGATGAAATCGAACTCGACTCCATGGTTTAAGTGGATTTAATAACTCGGATGAACCCTTATTGTCATTAACGTTTTCGATCGATAGAGATTAAATACCCCGAGGCTATAACATATGTAGAACACATACGGTTTTCCGAAAAAACGAAAGAAGCTAATTGTGAAAAAAAAAAAAAGCAGAGCCATTGTTTTATTTTTAGCAGTATCGTGCCACGTCAAAAGTTGTCGTGCCACGGTATAGATTGCCGTGACAAGGTAATCTGTGCCATGCCACGGCAGTCCTACCGTTGCTCGGTACTGATTAAAATAAATTAGTGCCCCTGTTTCTTCGATTGCAATCAGGTTATTTGATTTTTCGTACGAGACAAACCTAAATACGACGTTAAAACGTCATTACATATGCAACAATGCCAAATTAATCACAGGAATACGATTTAAGAATCTTTCAAGTCTCATCCATTCTTCTCAACTAAATACCGATCACTCAAATTAATAAATAATCAAGAATCCTCCCCACTGGAGTCGCCAAATTATAGGCGTCGTTCGAAGCGCACCTAGTTAAGCATGTTGTGAATAGCTTGGCACTCATAGAAAGTGGGAATTGACATACTATTAGGAGCACAAATAGAGACAAAGCAAAGTAGGGAGCCGCCAACAAGTTTATAAGAAATTTGTAAACCGTTCACGGATCATTATAAGGCAACCACGAAAGACAACAACGATTGACCCATGAAAGTTACACCCCATTCATAATCCACGAGATTACTAACTCCATATAGTTCGGAACCACTAAAGGAGGATCGGGGATGAAGGTACGAAGTAAGTCATAAAATCGCATTCGCCCGTATTGGCCTCTACTCGATTCTTACTGTGAAAAGTATTTCCTACGATCTCATAGGCATACAAACAAAGTTTCAATTTGCTCCAAACTATTATCAAGCTAAATTAGTTGAATGTTGATGCAACATATAATTCTAAAATATTGTGATCACATTAATTAAACAACATTAAAAAGGAACCTAAAACCGGTCGTTCAAATTATCTTATTAATCGTTATATTCAATTATATATTCCCTTTTACATGCAATATGGTGATCAATAAATGTAATAAAATAAACATCAACACTAGAAGCAATTTAACCATAAAAACAACGGTTAGTATATGAAAAACATAACAAAAACCGTTAGAAATATAACAGGAACAAAAGAAACATAAACGCGTTAGTAACTTCAAGGAAAACAATAAAACAATAATGGAAAATTAATAAACAATAATGGAAATTAAATCAAATGAAAGTAAAGTTGATTTGGGGGCTAAACCCTCAAACAGTTCCACCTTTCACGCCTTGATTTAAGTTTAGAACTTCGGATAAAGTACAGACTGCGTAGAGTGCTTAGGGAATGTATTGTGAAAGAATAGGGAAGGCAAATATTTAGGCTAGAGCATAAGAGAGAGAAAGAATGATTTTTGGTGCCCCCAAACTGAGAAATGAGCCTCGTATTTATAGAGGAAATGAGAGGGGTGAGGTCCGGAAACCCTAAAAATGAAGCACCGCATAGAAAATTAACCTAGAAATTGTTGCGTCACGACGTAAATTACCGTGACACGGCACAGATTGCCATGGCACGGCATTTCTACCGTGACACGATAAATTCCCTTTCCTAGACTTCCGTCTAAAATCACTATCTTTTTGTTTACATTTAGTACAGAATAATTTAGGTGTTGTTTCGGCGTTTGGGCTCATTTTAGGTTTAAGGTTTTAATATTTATTAATCGAGCTTAATGAATAAATAAAATGAATTAAAATGGTTTGGACTGAAATAAGGGTTGGACTATACTTTAGCTAAATACTTGGACTGATCTTTTAACCGATTTGTTTAATGTGTTTGACTGAAAATGAATTTTAAGCACTCCCAAAATTAAATACTCGACCCGACTAATAATGGCGGTGAAAAGTTGTTCATCATCGGGTTTGATTATGGGGAGACATTTTTAGATGTCTACAGTTATGGGTCAAAAAAAGTTGTTCAAGACCCACAAAACGGGTCGGGTTCGGGTCAAATTTGCAGGTCGGGTCAAAAATTGACAGGTCTACTAACCGCATATGAGGGTTCCACAAAATTTGTTTCCTCCTATTGAGAAACTCCATTTTGCCCCAATACTTTCTATACATTATTGTCGATGCCATCCGCACATATTGATGCCCAACATGCGCTCTAGGACCTGATACACCGTAATAGTCCCTTTGCGTGGCATCCATATTATCGCATTCAATGATCAACAGTCCTGAGCTACATTGCAACAAAAACAGAAATAAAAAATTCCATAAGAACAACCAAACCTAAAACTCATATTTATGATAAGCACAAGTACTCCATCCTTGAGATAAATAAAACAAAAGTAAAAAAAAATAAAAAAATGAGACGTACTTATTTTCATCCTTCAAATCCTTCCACCCTTTGACAAACGTCACCAACCGGTTACCAAACCCGGGTCACTATGTTAGCACCGGGTTCACCATCCCTCGAACAACATGCACAGGAAGATTCCTTCTCTTCATTTGGGCACTTTTCAGCGGCTACTGCATCCTTCAATACCTTGTTACTGCCCCCACTATGACGGGGCTGGCTCCCTTTACCAATGCTACTAGTGTTCAAATCTTGATCGTCCTTCGGTACACTGCCCTTGGAACCAGTAGCTAATTTGTCCCAACAATCCTCTCAACTAGACTTACAAGCATAAGGAGTTAACTGAGCAAGGACCTACATCATCCAATTGTAAGGGAAGTGTCAAAGGGTTAAAAAGAAAAAAAATGATCATAAAGTAAGCTCAGTTCATAAATGTTCATCAGTTTTTAACCTCAGTTCATCACAAAAGTGATATACCTGATCAACCACGGCATTGACCGAATTATAACCCACACTATTATTTTCCTCCAACCCGACATCACCGTCTCGTGGAACTAGAGGATGGTCCTCCCCATAAGCAACATCAACAACCTGCAAAGGACCATCAAAGTTAGTTAAATGTTACACACGGCACAAGGCAACAGAAACATCAATAACGGACTACAACTCATCGGCAAATTCCCAAATTCTTCGTCAGACCGTCGGTGGTCTTCTACAGCACCCTTCACCTGTTCAGAATTCCACACCTTCACCCTCAGATAAACACCCCAGTTAATTGGTACAGGTTGAGGTGATCTAAGTAAAAAATCTGCATATTCCATTAACTACATTAGTAACTTTGAAGGAATAAACCCATAAAAAAACAAGCAATTATATAAGCTTACCAAGAGAAACACAATGCTCCCACCACATCCGCAACGAAATCCATTTTTCTGAAATTTTGTCTGAAATCAATCAGCGCAGTCGCGCACCCAATCTATTGTGAACTTGCACCAATCATACTCTACAGCTTCACATGCCACTGTCAATGTCGGCACTAAGAATACAACCAAATTCAAACTATTCGCCGTCGTGCAGACTACCATTCCTAGAGCAACTATTAAAAAAAGATGTCATAAAGTCCTCTTTATCAACTTCTGTCTCAAGCTCGACAACAGAATCATCTTTTAGCACAGGGCACAAGGCATCGGCTGTTGCATTCAGGGACACGGTTTCCCCCTTTGACCCTACACCATAAAGATTAAATACCCTTATAATCTTCTGGGTATCCCCTTCGCCATCCCCGGCAACTAGAGGCATTGGAATACCAAGAATAGACCTCACTTGATTTGGCCCCAACGGAAGAATTGCACCATCTCCAAATATCATTGTCCCATCGCCAAACACTCTACTCATCAGCCAGTAACAGAACTGCCTGGGTATAGTCTTCACATTCAAATTCAGCAACCCTGCAAAACCCATACTACTCAGCAACAAAACCCCAGTTTTCCCCCAAATTAAACCCTGTGACCCATTTTCACAATTGTGACCCTAATTGCGACCCATATTCAACACGATTAAGCCCAAGCCATGTATTCAATTACAATTTACTCAGTTACTCCGACATACCAAACCCTTTATGATTTTTTGCTAAAAAAACCTAACTTTTAAACATCGTCGATTTTGGGAAAACCCTCACTTATTTAGTTCACATTTCAACATTTAAACATGTAATTACTTACCTATTTCAACAATGGAGTATGTATACAATTGTACTAATGATTCGCCACGCCCTTTCCTTTCAACAATACTTCAGCAATTGAGAAGACCTTTCTACCGCTTCGCGACCTTGCTATATCCAAAGATCTTTCTTGCAATAACCCAATCTCACCTGAATTGCTCAGAAACATAGTCCAAGAGGAGAGGAGCTCAGAAATTATGGAGGAGAGAGAGACGAACAAGTCGAAGAGAGAGAAAGAGATTAATTTTCTTGAGAGGGGAGGAAACATATGAGAGAGGAGGAGACATATGAGACAAATTAAATTTGCATAACGAGATACTTTTCCTCGAAACGGCAAACCAGATGCATTTTTCAAAATTACTTATTAATTGACGCTTTTGCCCCTGCGAGACAGTAGTAAATGTCTCTCAACCCTCCGTTTGAAACACCTCGGAACTAACCATCGCTCCCCTCCTTGATCCTCAATTATATTTTTCACTAGATGAAACCCGTGTGATGCACGGTGTTTGTATTTTTTCAAATAAAATATTTTACTAAATATATATTTATCTGATAAACTTTGTGATATTCACTTGTTTACTACTTGAACTTTTTATTATAAAATGAATTATTAATTTTGTTTTTCATATTTAGATAAAAATTCCTAATATAAAAAGATAATATTTTATTTCACAAAATTTCATATGTGACTAGTCACACCGTGTGGCCGGAATTACTTGGCCATGGGTTACTCAGTTGGTCAAGGGTTACTTAATCGAGCAGGATTACTCGGATGGTCAAGGGTTACTAGGTCAGTATTTTGGTGTGTCTCAGCTGGGCACAATATGGCCGGCCACACAGAAAGCGCTCTGATTTTATTTTTATAATTAATATAAAATTTTAGATCTAAAATAAAATGCAATTCTTTTTTTTATTGGCTAAAATATAACATTTTCCTATGTGAAGCTCTAAAATATTTTGAAAAAACTCTCCTCTATGTAATTTTTGTAAAAATTTATCATAATGTTGGTTCCATTAATCACCCAAATAAATCATTTAATTTTATTCATGATAATTTTTTAAAAATAATAATCTTATGTGTCGCTCTGATAATTTTTTATTTATTATTATATTCTTACGTAACGCTTTAAAAAAACTAATCTTACGTGGCATAATTCTATTGTAGCATTTTAAAATATTAATCCCACGTGGCTTTTTTTATTATTATAAAACTATGTAGCGCTTTAAAAAAAACTAATTTTATGTGGCATAATCCGATTGTAGCGTTTTAAAAATATTTATCATACGTGGCGCTCTAATAATTTTTTAAAAATTAAAATCCTACTTGGCGCTCTAAAAACTCAGAAAAAACTCCCCTCTATATATATACTAGTTTTGAGTCTGGGTGATGCCCAGATTGTTGATAAAATTTTAGGATAAACTTTTTAGCTTATATATTTATTAATACGGTCATGTAATCCCTTTTGATAATGCAGGATATTTAAACATACGATATCCTATAGCTTATTTATAGAATAGTGTACTTTTATAATTTTGTTTGTAAATAGATTTCTATGTTATTATTGACTTGAAAGTATTGTTATTGTACTTAAATTATTTTTACTGAATTGAAAGTATTTTTACCAAACCAAAATTATTTTTACTAGTTAAAACTTATTTTTGTTGATTCTCTATTATGTTTTTTTTTACTAAATTAGATATATTATAAATGGATCTTTTTTAAAAGAACTCTTTGAAACGAATTTTATGATGGAAATAAAACCGAGTTATAGGATATTTATTAAAAGTTATGATTAATTATGTATATATGAAAAGAGGGAATAAAGCTCTATACAACATTTTTATCTTAAAAAATATATCCAAAAATCGCTTATTTAGCGTAGCGTCATATGTGTCACACTATAATACCTATTTGTCGCGTATGTGGCACGACACTTGGCGAAAAATTGAAATGCGAAGTGTTGTTGTATCGTGATCTAACTGCGAGACCAACTTTATTTATTAGTGATATGATATGATATGATATTAGATTTTGATTTAAACGAAAAGAATAAAAACTCATTGATCATGCATACTCCATAGTCTTTTTTTTGGTTCCAGAAAATAAAAAAGCCAAAACCAAAATTCAACCAATTAATTTATTAAAATTTTAAAAATTAATTTCCCACTTCCACTCTTCAGTCTTCACCCCTAAATCGTGGGCGACAATCTACAAGCCTTCAATCTAAAAAATCGCACCGTTTTGAACACATCAATACTATTATTTTAAAACAGGAAGTTGGAAGGACACTTATCCTCGTCCTGTTTTAAATTTTTTTTTTATTAAGTATAAAAAAAATTAAAAAAAAAATCATACATCTCTTCCATCCCAATCCCCTAATCATGCTTATTCAACAAAATAATTATTTTCATCAAAAAAATAATAATATTAAAATAGAAATTCAATCAAACATCTCTTCTACATCTCTTTCATCCTAATCCCCTAATCATGCCTATTCAAGAAAATAATTTTTTTGATATATTAACTAACTATAGATTTAAATTAAAAAGGTTTTTATAATTCCTCTGTCAATAGAAAATAGCCTTAACAAATTTACTATAGTGTTGGTTCATTTTCTTTCAAAAATATAAATAGAGAAATGGTAAACCAAGATCAATATTTTTTTTCTCAAAGGGAAGTTAATTGTTTAGAAACCCACCATTGAAAATACTAAATTCCTTTCCATTTGTATTTCACTATGCATTCATATTTAAAGTGTCAGCTTATGTATGATCAAAATGTGTTTTCCATATTTAGCAGAATTGATATGTTTGGTTTACAGAAAGGTCATTGTGGATCATGAGTAAGCGAAGTTCAAATTGGGCTACAAATTTATTTTGGTAAGTGTGTTTCTTCTAATTCATGTATATTGCATAACAATAATTAGAGGAAAAAAAAAATTGTAGCCCTTATACGTATATTTAATGTGGAGTACAAGCTAAAATTTATTTGCATGGTTGATATGGCATATATGGTGGAAGATTGGTATAGTATTCAAGAGAATTGGTAAAATGTAATCTTTAATGTACGTATCTCAGTTCAAACTTTAGGGTGTTTAAGATGTAATGGTAACATTTATTGAGGCTAAAAATTTTTTTTCACTACATCACAACTTAAATTGATATACTACGTATATGTTAAATAGGATCAAACAGTTTGTATCTTTTAAAATCATTAATTATATACGTAAAAATCAAAGTCCCAATTTAAATATTTCTACCTTTCCTAAATTTGCAGAAAGGAAAAAACTTTAGCACCGGTGAAAGTGAGATTGAATTGGGCTGCAAATTTTGTTAAGGTTAGTTGAAACTGGACCATGTCTACTCTATCTTCCGTCAATCGTTATTTCTTTACATCAATGCTTGAAACACCAATATAAAGCAAAGGAGAACTCTAGATAGACTCTTAAAATTTTATAGAAAAAAAAATCATCGGAAATTATGTTGTGTAGCATTTTTTAAACAATTTCTACAACTCCATAATTAATAATATTATTTGATTAATGTTTATTTTAAATAAACAAAAATTACAATGCAATAAACTTACCATTAAAGCGACGACGAATTGAACAAAAATAGAAGACGCAACACTGCTGAAGCATCCTCTATTGCTCGTCCCATAGTCGTCATATTTCCCGCGGAACCCAACTTCACTCCGCCAAACTTTCATACTAAGTATTTTTTCTCTCTCTTCTCTTCTCTGCCATGGCCCCCAAATCCGACAGCGCTGAAGGTATTTTCTCTCTCCTTTACTCATTTTCATCTTCAATCACTCCATTTTGTTGTTTTTTAAGGTTTAATCTTCTCATTATACCACTCATTTAGCTAAATTCGTTTAATTTCCTCTTAATTTCACCAATTTATGAATTTTTTCAGTGTTAATATCTGTAACATTTGTTGAATTTTTTTGGTGGATGTAATTTGTTCAGGTATAGTACTCAACTTCGTCAACGAGGTAATCCACTTTCCTTAAACCCTTGTTTTTATTATACAGATTTTGTGGGGAAATATCCGATAAATATGTTCTTCTAATTGTTGTTTTTTTTTTTTTTTTTTTTTTAGATTCTTGTGATTGAAATTGTATACAACATTTATGAACTTGTAATTTTAGACCTGAAGTTGTTTGGAAATTGATTGATTTTTCTGTGAAATAAGTATTGCAAAACCAAAGTACCTTATTTTAGGTTAGGATGTTTAGCTGAAATATAAAATCAGGAACATTTTCTGCATTTTTTTTTTAAATGAATTCTATAGTCGAAAGTTGCGGTATGAAATGATATTTTATGAAACTGATTTTCGAGTGTATGATTTGTGAGCATGGCCCAGAGTTTCCAAAAGAATAAAAGTTCATGGACTTGTGAATTATTCTATCATATGATATCCCTATTAGCTTTTGTATGTTTGTAAACCGAAGGGCGATAACTAGCTACATTTGCGGGATTCAAGTGTCATTTGGTCTATTATGAAGTACTTGATTATCATGTTGTGTCTTGTATTTTGAGAGTTTGGAGAAATGTAAGGTTGGAGTTGAGAACAATAAGTTAACAAGATTTCAATGAGATAAGGTTAACAACTTGGTAAAAGACCTGACATTGCACTTTCATGTCTGTTATTAGACATTTAGACGTGTAATCTGATATGATTAAGCGGAAAATAAATAAATGAAATAGAAGTCATTTGAAATATTATGACATTTCGGGGACTTTTCCCTAACTAGCAAAATGTTTAAATAAAATATTTTAGTTATTTTTATCAATTTGTCAGCCACTGCCCACTCATGTTTAGCAGGCTATACTTGTTTGTCTTAATTTGTATTATGTTTGTTGTTCTTATCCAGCAAAATAGGCCATTAAATGCCCAGAATGTTGCTGATGCGTTGCAAAAGTTCAATCTCAAAAAGACTGCAGTTCAAAAAGCTCTTGATTCACTCGCTGATAGTGGGAAGATTGCATTTAAAGAGTATGGCAAGCAGAAGATCTACATTGCACGTCAAGACCAGTTTGAGATTCCAAACAGTGAAGAGCTTAATCAGATGAAGGAACAGAATGCCAAATTACAGGAACAAATTAACGAACAGAAGAAAGCAGTTAGCGAGGTTGAGGGAGGTATGCTAAACTTCTAATTTTACACTTTGATAAATTACATGGTTCTTACTCATCCTTTCATTTATTAATGAAATTGAAATGAGAATTGAATTGGAATTTTGGATGCAATGCTAGTGATCTGTGCTGGGCCTGCTGGCTTTAATTTGATCTCCTTGATCATTTTGTTTTCAGAAATCAAATCCTTACAGTCAAATTTGACGCTAGAAGATATGCAAGCCAAGCTGGGAAGACTTAAGATAGAGGTATATTGCATCATTAAATCATTTGCAGGAAGATATTTTTTATTATTCTATTAACTTGCGTTTTTTTACAACAAATAGCTGAAATTGGGAGAACTTTGAACTTGATAAATTATCTGTTGACATCTCAACTAGGTTGAGGAAATGGAGGATAAGTTGACTAAATTGCGTGGAGGAGTCACCCTTGTGAAACCAGAGGACAGGAAGGCTATTGAAGATCTGTATGTGAATGCAATTAGTCATTGGAGAAAGCGCAAAAGGATGTTCAAAGATATATGGGATACAATAACTGAAAATTTACCGAGGGATCTAAAAGAGCTTAAGGTCTTTTTCTTCCTCACTTCTATAGTTCTATAGGCCTCCAAAAATATTTCCCTTCACTGATTCAACTCCTTCCATTTATTTCAGGAGGAACTTGGCATTGAATATGATGAAGATGCTGGTCAGAGTTTGCAGTCTTTTTGTAATTTGATGCCACAAAGCAAAAAGCGGGGAAGAGGTCAGTAAAGTTCATGCTGCAGTTAATGCTGAAGTTTTACTAGTGGCTTGCGACAAAGTTCATGGTATATATTTTTGCATTTGGGAAGTATTGCACCAGAATAGATCATTCACGTACGCTGGATGCAGCTTTTTCCTCGTCAGTAAGTTCTACTAGAACTATAATTTGTAGTTGTAAAAGCATTTGCACTTATTAGTGTTTATTAGCTTATATATGCTTGATAACTATAGAGTCCTTTTTCAGTTGTACCAGAAAGATCAGCTTCTCATAGCTGATTTCATTATCAAATTATGTACAGTATCTTCAACATAACTTAAGTATACTGGATTACTGGTTACCTACCCAAGAAACTTTATCTGAACTTGCTTGCATTATTTAGTGAAAACAAGATTATCTCAATGATGAGCATTTCTGTACTAATGCATATTGTCCGGAAAGTGAAATTGTTGACTGGCTATCCATTCATAAGGGGAATTACTTCTCAGATCATTCATTGTTTCTGCACTTGATACAATAAATTTAAAATAGTGGTTAGTTCTGGGACATTGACCAGATGGTCATGGACTGCTTCGAAGCTTACTCGATCTCAGTTAACAAATTTCTTTTCCAGAATAAGGCTACGTTTCAGTTTTTATAAGCATAAATACATTTACTATTGCCTCTATATACTTTCTGCAGAGTAGAATTAAAAAAAAAAGGAGGCTTAAAAAACAATTTAACTCAGATATTCTTCTTGCTCATCTAGAGATAACTTCAATAGCATATAAAGGTATCAATGCTATCTTCTGGTCCTCACAGAAACAGGCCTATTCACTGTATTCAATCTCTGTGAACTCTTCACAGCCATTCCTGCAGAAATGTGTTCCTTGCTATCTTTCCCGGAATTAGCTTGAATATTAGTAGCTGTTCGTTTAGGAGAATAGTAAAGCAGCTTGGTTTCTCTTTTTTCCTTTTCATCTTTGTCTTCAAGTGAATAGGTCTCACTCTTAGCTACATCTTCGCCAATGTTCTCACTGAACTTCAGGTTCTGCTCTGCTATACTTCTCGGATCTACTTGCTTGATGTTAATCATCTGGTCGCTTTGACAGATTTCCTCTTCGTCAGAATTGAGGCTGTATTTGTCGAATGGATAAACCTCTTCATGCCGTAAAACAGAGTCTTCAAGTTCCCGTGAATTATTTTTCTGACTATTAACAGTTCTTGATTTTACTTCACTATTTGAATCCATGACTTGCTTTCTCTGTTTATTACTTGGATGATTGAGATCATCTGGTGGTCCACCAGAACTAGACCTAGAGAGATCCACAGCAGCTCTTGCTGCAGAAGCTGCATACGCTGCTGACAAAAAAGCTTCTTGGGCAGCTTCTGCTACATCTTTATATTGTTTTCCCCTATTCAATGAAAGACTTAAATCCCCAACTCTGCACATTTCTTCAGGGTAGTCCTTCCTATCATCTCCAAAATTAACTCCTGAACTAGCTGATTGGTTTTTAGCACAACGATTGTCCTCTTCTTTATTTACCTGCACAAAGTTAGTGCATACATACATTATTTCTAGTGCACTTTTTTATACCTTCATTCCAATTCTGATACTCCCCTGTCCATCAATCACAAGCTACATACTTTGTATGATTAGAGTTACTTTTAAAAATTTTAGTATGGTAAACTTTGGACTTTATAACTTGGAATCTTGGAGGACTCTAAACAGAAACGTGACATACGAAGTATAATTTAGGAACAGAGTAACATTTCTGAGAATTCCACTGATAAGCCATTGCGTAAATATCAAATATCATAGTAGGGAAGACTAATAAAGTTGAAGGGACTTTATCAATGAATGGAAGAAGCAGTACCTCTGCTGCCATTGAAGTAGCCTCTAGCTGCAAACTGACGCCATTTTCATCAGCTATTTCTTTCAGCAACTTCATTCTACTTTCCAAACTTGGCTGCCTAGTTGATAGTTTCTGGATGATCTGCCCAGAAAAACACCCGTTAATCACACAATTAACATGTATTCTTGACATTTAAGTGGAAATCATTTACCTTGAGGTTGACACCACATCTGTTACGTAATTCAGTAGCGCGAAGGGTGAACTCTTTGCCATAACGGGATGAAAAAATATAGCGTATCTCCTGTAGTTCTGGTAATTCTCCGCACCTTGATGCTGCAAAAATCAGGCTTGATATAGCCTCTTGAAGCTCTTCAGGGCAGGTTCTGAAATCAGATGATATTTATTTATTCATGTGTCAAACATGAAGACTGAAACACCACAGAATTAAATTAGAACAAAAAAGTAAAAAAAGGAGGGTAACTTTTCATCTTCAATAAGTTTGACCCTCTCACTCAAAAGAATGCAATAACTCTCAATCATGGCAAACACATCCAACATATTTTGCTCCTTGATCACTTGTTCAACCTATCAAAAACACGCAAGTAAAACCATGCATCACAATCTATTCTGTGTCAGACATCATAAATGGTGAAGAAAGCAATGGTGGTTACCCTGATGAGAGCACGCTCGTGTTCAGAAATTTGGAGGAGTTGAACGACATCAGAGCGTGCAATGGAACATCGCGCTCGCTTCTGGTTCTTAAGGACAGAAAGCCTAGATATGGCAAGGTTTACAAGGGTTTTGAATTTGGAAGCCTTAAAGCTTCTTCCTAGCAATGCATCCAGCGTTTTTCCCATGCTTAACTTCTTACTATCACCAACACTAAAGGTGCGCGTAAAGCCTACAAAAAGATTTTCCTAGCGGCAGGTGAATGCAGCAGCAACAGTCCCAAGACTCCCCAAGCGGCAGGTGAATGCAGCAGCAACCGGACACGACGGCTGCTGCTGCGAGTTTGGCTGCAGGGATGAGGACAAGGGATACGACTGCTTGGCACTTTGTGTGATGACACAAGATGTGTGAAAATATGGACTTTTATTTTTATTTTTTAAACAAACGTGTTTGAAGAGGTTTTTGATTACTTAGGGTTGAAGAGAGCGATATATAGTGGAGCATCAAAGACTTGTGGAAGATTATGAACAGCTGGCTTCTTTTTTTTGGAAAAAAAATATTTAATTTGGTTTTGGGAAAATCGTGGCTAAAAAAATCATAATGTTAACGCGGTTGCAGTTTCTTCAATAAGTCTTAATGACCTAGCAAATAAGAAAAATATTATTTTAATTGGTGTAGGTTAGTTTTTACATTTTCTAGAAAGTTTTTGCCTAATTTTCAAATGTTTATGTACGTAGGCAAAACATACACTAATGTTATCGAAGTTAAGGCTTGTTTGGTGGCCACTAAGAAAGGTTTTCAGAGTGATCGGTAAATATGTACGGGAAACATACTTGTAAAATACTAATGGCAGTTTTTATTAACTTTAGAAGGTTAATCATAAAAACAGGTTATCAAATTGTTAGTATTTTGTATATATATATATAATAAATAGAACAATTGGAATCCAATTCAGATGCTTATCCTTCATCTTTAACATCGTACCATGGCCATTATCCTGGCTCTCACCTTAACCCTAGTCCAATGTCAAAAAAAAAAAAAAAAAACCTAGCTGAATATATTTCTTCAAAAACCGATCTTTTGTCAATATTGAGTAGCAGATTAATATTTTGTCATAGCTATTAGCTAAAGGTAGTAGGGTACAATTTTATCATATTTATAGAAATTTTTTTACGATACAAGATGATATGTATCTCAAAGGGGTATATTTGTCATTTTAACTAGTAAGATAGGGTTAAAATTGTATAATTGTCTAGAATATCATTCTATTCAAGCAAAATCAGAAGAGCATCAATGGAGGAACAAAAAGCTTCAATGGTGAAATGGAACTCGACAATCGACAATCGACTTCAATGGAGGAAAACAACACTTATACGCATACCCTTCGGGCCAAACCCTTAATTTTCTCCATTTTTTTTAGGATTTTCGTTTAATTTGACGGCAAAATCTTTGGAAATATAACGGTGAACGTTGGTGGTTTACGAGATGAAGCAAGATAATTGGGAAAAGGGAAAAGGAGGAAGAAAGATATGAAAATGGAGGGGAACGAAAATGGAGCAAATTGTCGGTTGAAGAAGACCAAACCCAGAAATTTTGTACATAAAAAATTATACATTCATAAAGTTCCTTTTATTTACATATTTGCCATTTTGAGATACAAGCTTTGTATCTCATATTGAGATAATGGGGCTCCCTTGTAAAATAGTGGGTATCGTAAAAAAGAAAGGTAAGAGAAATTGTAAGAACAATAATAAAAAAATAATTAAAAAAAAAAAGATAATGCATGCCCTTCATAGGAAGAAAGAAAAGTAGAGCAACAGAACATGAACGACTTTATAAGAAAATTATGTCAATTTTAAATATGAATTTTTTTTAATTTTAATATATATACAAGTATATGTTTCTACTTTGACTGCGCAAATATCTATTCGACCAGTACTATCTCGAATTATATATTACTAAATTTAAAAAAAAAAAAAAAAAAAATTAAAGCACTCATTAATATGAAACAAACAACCTCAAGAATATACAACTTTCTTTTCATATGTAAATTGGGAATAATTTTTAAAATACCTTTAAAATGTGAATTGTTAAAATTTCCAAACAAAAACATCATAATAAAATGGAGAATTGAGTGAATAATATTTTAGGAGGTTGTACGACATAGGTGAATCTTGGTAATTTTCACCCAACCAAACCTTAGCTTCCACCTACGAAATTTTATTGGGGCCTCCACCTAATGTCCAATGTTTTTGGCGGTATAATTTTATTGGGGTCTTCAACAAATGTTTTGGCGGTATAACCTTTAAAATTATATTTGTTGTTCCTCCTACTACAAGGAACTTGCTCCATCATTAAGATGACTTAATCTCCTCTTAGTATGCCTCATATGAGCAGAACACACTCCCATGGTGTCCCCTTACAATAAAAATCAAGGGAATGATGCGCAACCAGTATTATGTAAGGTACTGCAAGCATATTTTGCAACGTCTCAATTTAGCCCCTCAAATTTTGAATTTTGGGAAAAAAAATATATAACAGCTTACATCGAAATATTGATCAAAAATACATATGCAACATATTATGATTCGATTGAAGATGAAAGAACCATTCCAATTCTATGAAATAGATTGCAAATAGAAGTCAAGTCCAAAGTTATGCATAGAGTCAAATCTTGTAGAACATTAACTTGAAACCATAACCGGGACTACACCGGTAAGGACCCCATCTATGTTTGTTAAGGACAAAGGACTCAAAAGGATGGAACTTTCATTATTTTCTACAACAATCACTCCAGGAATCCATATATTTGTTACAATCACTATTTGTAAAATAAACCAAAACCTTCAAGTAATAATACAAATTGAACAAATGGCCCGAACAAAAGGCACAATCAGAAGACACCGCCTATAAGGGCAAAGAGCGAAAATGCGTCAAGCGCAAGAGATATTAGCTACTTACTAAAATTCTCACAAGCATCTAGTGTTCAGCCAAGCATGATTGCAGGCCATTGATGATCGCCAGAGGCAGAAATTATCAATATTAGTAGAAAATTTAAGATATAGGGTATGGATTATAGGGCCATTAGTCTAACAAACTACTCCGAAGAAGAGTTTTCTTTTTATGTCCGACATGATCTGTGCTTAATTGAGTGACAATTTAATTATAAGATATATTTACCCAAAATAAAAAAAATAAATAAAAAGGGGGGGGGGGGGTGGGGGGGATGGATATGCAGGAATAAAAAAATGAAGGAAATAGCACAGGGTTTTTTTTTTTTTTTTTTTGAAACAGCACAAAGAGTGTATATATATACATAGAAGATGATAAAAAAAATTAAATAATTATATACAGCAATAAATAAATTATGATGGATAATTCCACGGATATAAAAGGAAACTTCTACCTTTTAGGAAACTAGCAAATATTGCATCATTCCTGTATAAGGAAATCCAGTTTCTCCTTTTACACCACAAATAACCAATACATCCTTCATTGATGTTTCAAGTTGCTAAAATTGGTGATTATAATTTTATATCACTAAATAAAACTGATTATTCACTAATTACATACTGTATTTTATTGACTTAAATGGATTAAAACTTACTTTTATAGAATATCATTTATCTAATTTGGAGTATAAATAAAACAAAGGGCCTTTGGCTCTTATCAACATTCTTTCTAAAGCTCCGTTCAATTCACCTTATTTTTGCTGAACTGAAATTATTTTTACTGAATTGAACTAAGCATTAATCTCAAACAAGCAAAATGATACAGAAGCAAATACCAGTCTACCAGAATGCTGTAACTTTCTGAACACTTAGTTTTACTTTTACAGATCAAAAGAATCAAGTAAGCCAATTTCACAGAATGCACACATAGACAACAGACAAACAAACACCCAAGAATTTTGAAATTCAAAAATCTCTTTTGCATTGTATGGATTAAGAGATACCACACTAATGAACTACGGTATCTAAGTTGAGAATGAAAATTAGCAGGAAGATAGTGTGGGTCACCAGCTCAAACATAACACACGACTGACTAAATTATATCATTATCTCCCTTGGAAAAACTCAAAGCATATCAAAATATGGGGCAAAAATAAATCTTAACCAAAATTTAAATCCAAATCAAGCAAAGAACCCACGAGTTATTAACCAAAATTACAACAATCACAAGATAATCAGGGAATTTGCCACAGCAGTGCTTCTCCTAGACCCTATAGAAGTATCATATATAACAAATAAAAGAAGAAACCCAAAGCCTAGAAGGTCCCAGCCTACAGAAGATAAAGATGCACATTATAACCATGCTTTAGCTGGAATATGACAGAATTTATCAAAACAGCACCAAAGTTCTCCTAAGAGGTGGAGAACAATGAATTTCGGCCCAGACAAACATAACTGACAGTAAAACTCAGCGCAAACTTTTAAGTTTGAAGCAGGATCCAATTCTTCTAAATGAAAATACGATTAAGAAATCTTTTAAGTTGTGTCTCATTTACAAGCATCTAAAATGAATTTAATGTACACGACTAGAGGAATAAATTACACAAAGTCTTAAAAAAATAGAGTGATATTGTACATCGGTTGTAAAGTTCCCCCAAAAAATCTAAGATGATCAAAAGTTACCCCAATATATATAAGTTACCCCGATAAAATTAAAAGTTATTTATGCTTTATTGATAGATTTACTCTTTTTAAATGAGTAAAACTCAAATCACAATGGGTGAAAATAATCATATTATCCTTATAAAACTTATCCCATTGCCTATTTACATTAAAATCATATCAGGTTTAAAGTTAAACCAAAGACGATTAAAGTTACCCCAAATTGGCTAAATTTAGCGGGTGTACACGAAAGATTTTGGATGAAATTAAAATTTAATACAACAAAATTGTAAACAAGAGAAGCTAGGGTTTACTAATCATGGTTTTATTAAAAAAAAAAGAAGAAAAAAAAAGGATAAAAACCTACCATTAGCATATTATAACTAATTGGTTCCATAATACAGTTTTTACATTTTCGAGATAACTAAAAACTTGAAATGATAATAATGTAATTCTCTTTTAAATCCTCCCCCCACCCCCCCCCCCCCAGCCCAACAAAATACAAAAATGCAAATCTTTTTGAGCAGCTTTCAAAAACTCCTATTGACTCTCGACTTTTGTCTACTTGTTATAGTACAGCCATTATAGGTAAAGATATAAACATTTAGATTAGGAGGTTAATTACTTAATTGTATCGTTGATATTGAACTTTGCCTGATTTAACTAATCTAACAACTTATATTTCAATTCCAACATTCTTAAAACATGCAACCACCATCAATTCCTTACCAACCTACCCAGACAATGGCAACATCTATCAATCAATTAAGTAGGGTCCAGTACATGAACGAAAAGTGATTATTATGTAGTCATCCAAAAAAATCTTCCTCCTCCACCCCTTAAGATCAAATACCTCATTCTCATACAAATCCAAATGCTTCATATCCTTCCTGACTCCTTATATTATGGATCTATTTCTACTCCAAACGCATATAAAATCTAAAAGACCCCGGAAAGTGATGACAAAATCAAAGGTGATAAAATATTTGAATGAGTTGATTGCAAGAATAGTGAAGGCCGTTAAAGAGAGGTCACAACATCAAACTCTAAATTAAATCCCTCAAATCTCACAAACATCACCTGGAACTCTTCCTATTTGAAGGCAAGTTACACCTCTTTGAATTTCACAATTAAGATGGTGAATAACCTCTTCAACCATGACTTCAATATGCTTCTTTCAAGTCGTTTCATTTCAAAATCCTAACTTAATCTCCCCACTACGACACACCTACATGTAGAGCTTTCCTGAACAAAGAAGAGCATACTAAAGATGTATGCAAAGGAGGAGCTGAGCATGGAGGACAACAAAGGAGAGGGTAGCCTGCCTTCACAAGTATGTTTACTCTGGGAAAAAACAATAGCCTGAATGTTTTACCAAGGAGAAGGAAAAAAAAAAAAAAAAAAAGCAATCTGCTTATTATAAAAAATGGGTCTGGCTCCATGGATCTGGACCGGGTTTTGGACCCATTGCCATCCCTAGGTAAAATCACTTTATGTATGGTAAAATCATCTTCTATATAATCAACTTTCTCGGTGCACAATAAACTTAGTGTGCACCGGGTTTATTTTAGAATTTTTATTGAGCTCTATTCCAAGACCATTATTTCTTACAATTCATCGGTGTAAATAAGATAACAGATAAAACGTTCCCATAGACAATACCTCATCAAAGCCACAATAATTCAGACTAAGATATGGAGATGCCTAATATTAAATACAAGATATAATATTGAAGTATAAATATAAATATAATAGAAGTATTTGAAAAACAAGAATTCCACAAAATGACACTGTCAGTCTGTCCTCAAATTAAAAGATTGATTTTCTTTTTTGGCCTTTGTAAGTTACAACCAAGATTACAGAAAAACCAAAATACATTTTAAACTGAAACAGTAGGATATCCAAAATGAAAATTGATATTGGTTCAGGCACACGATTGAAATACATGACAAATGGGTACATGTATTATATTTCAAACTAGGGTATAAAATTAGTTTTGATCTTTCACCTTGCCTAAATCCGTTAGTTGAAAAGACAAGCTATCCTTGACTTTGGCAAAAGTAAGCATGCCTAGACCCAAGTATGGACTAAAGATTTACTCTTTTCATGTGAAGTGAAACCCGCTAAACTACCTCAGTTTCTTAAGTCTTAATATAAAACTTGGAAGCAATAGTATGGTTATTATTCAGGGAAATTATTTTCCGACACAAAAAGAAAACCATCAAATTGTAACTTAAACAAAAGAACACAGAAGATAGACAGTACACACTAGGTAAGTAGAACTGTAGAAGCAGGAATTCAGCTGAGAATGAAACACTATATATCTACAATAAACATATGTTACAGCGATTAATCCTATATACTCAACTCATAAAAGGCTCTCCTGGCTTGATATGTAACAGGGCTATATATGACCTTCATTGCCTCTTTGAGATTGGTTATACTCTAGTGTTTTACTCAAGAAAAAACCCATACGATATACTTGAAACAAAAATAAAAAAAAAAAGATAAAAAGAAAATTGGCTTCAAATACAACCAACTTTCACCTATGAGATCTAAACTTCAGCTACCTATCTACTCCAAATCGTGGCCTTTAATCACCATGATCGAGTTTGTGACAATTGCAGTCCTCGCATAGTACTAAGTTCCTAAAAATGTCACCAGTGTTTCAGAAAGAGAGTATCAGTTTAGAAAAACAAAAGTCCCATGTCTGAGCTCAGCTATCGCCAGCGAGTAAGCTCCCACTCTTCATTATATATCTTTCTCGGTAATTGGGTTCATTCTCACTTCCAAAATTCTAATTTCTCTAACCTATCATGAGGCGCAAATAAAAAAGTTTGGTGACTAGGTAAAGTTTAGCACTCGTCCCTTCTTTACCAATTGGCACGACAAGTTGATCGCTTCCACCTCGCCCTTAGGTGCACAGACATAATTCTAAATTATTACAACTTACAGCTATAAACCATCAAATTAAAGAAAATGAAGTTTCTGCTATGTAATCCGTTCATGTTAAAAAGCTTTTTAGATGAAAAACACTCCATTACAAAGCTATTTCACCTCCAACAAAGTGCTTAAAATTTATCATTTCAGTTGCTTCACTACTACGGATTATTAGATAAGATATGACTAAATGCTGTCCGAAAATCAAATAAAGCAATGACAAGCTAAGAACAATTAATCTTTTTAATTTTTTTTTTTTTAAAAAATATCAAGACATGTACTTTGCATTTTATGGTGATTTTTCCTCACTTTAGTTAAATCCCTTACCTAGGCAGAGATGAGCCACCACAAGGTAGGAGTTGTACACTGCACTAGATTCGAATGACTAAAAAGAACTTTTTATTACACGACTGCATTGACTAGAAGGGGAAATTATACCACAATCTCTGTTTATGTCAAATCTTGGTAGAACAATCAAAAACTAGCTTCAAAAGTGACAACCCAAACAAAATTATATTTAAGTACTACTACCAAAGTGTTCATTGAAATTTTTCTTGTCACTCAAGATGCACATATATAAGCAATTTCATCTACTAGAATATGAAAGTTGCAACATCCTCACATAAGCAAAAATATTTAACACCAGAAGTTTTACCAGGTACATTAATAACAGGAAGATATCAGTGGCTACAAAGACTACTTACATCAACTATTAGGTTCAACACTACATTTGAACTCATTAGACTTTTGTAACATGTGATAAGATCAGCAAAGAATTTAGGGAAAGGAACATTTCGCAATTAACCAAGAGACTTACAGCACACAGCCTGACCAGAACCGATAAAACAAGAAGATAGAGAAAGGATACCAAAAATAATGAGGAAACTTACAAAGAGTTGCAGGAGCAAGAACCGTTTCCCTATCAAAGAAAAAAAAAAAAAAAAAAACAGTTCATTTAATGCCCCTAGAAGATTCAACATGATCCTGAACATAAGCAGATAAACTATGACAAGAACTCACTGCAAAAACTTTCCAAGAAGTAGCACCAGACATCTCCAAAGCCAAAGCCTCCATAACGACCGGCCATAAAGCAGATGTAGCACATTCATTAGAACAATAGAGACATAGATATAACCCCAAAAAAATAAAAGAAAAAAGAAAGAAAAAGGAATCATAATCTTGACGAAAATAACAAAGCCAAGAAACTAAATAGCACGACACTTGACAATAGAGAAATCAGATAAACTATTTCGGGGTGTTAGGCCACTTAGGTGGAACACAACACTCACGAAATAATTTTCATGAAATAAATAAATTCAATCTTCAGGTTTATTAACAAGGGATATCCATGACTAGCTTATGAGTCAAACTAACAAGGGTATCAAAGTAATGATCCCAGTAAACAACAAAGGTACCTTCTCCATGGTGCCTTCTAGGCATATAAAGATTGGAGGGTTCCCCCAAGAACTGGAAAATCCCTGAATCAAAAGCAAGATTAGACTCTCCAGGCAGAAAGAAAATAAAAATATATAACTACAAATACCAGATAAGAGATGTATATAATCAGAAGAATTCAGAAAGATAAGTAGTAAAGATGGTAAGAAGAGCAACACCGATGTTGTATGCATCGTATACTTTCATTCAAGAAACCAAAGTTAAACGCAGAGTACATCGGCTTCCGAAGGATAACTATCATGAGCATTTAAGCTCCACGTTTGAGCAACATTCATCCAGTGTGATTATGAGCAACAGATCAAAATAAAGTATAAGAAGATATACTAAACTCACAAGGCAAATGTTTAGAGAGAAATGTAATAAATGTAATGTACTATTGCACAATAAATTATCAAAATGATTACAATAAAAGAAAAAAACGCCTTTGGCGAGTTGTCTTACAATAGAAACAGAACACATTCCATTGAGAACTGCCAGTAAGTGACCTCCCAAAAGATATCAGCCTTCTGAGTCCAACTTGAATGACGCCAGAAGCAATCTCCACCAATCAGGCCCACAGTAGTGCAGAAAAGATAGACAGTAAATTCCCAATGATTAGAGTCTGATATAAACTAACACCGTAATATACAAAAATCTAGTGCTACTGCATTTGTGGAGTCAGAAAATCAGCATCTGAATTCACTTGCCCGTAATAAATGGGTGATTCAAAGCTTGTGAAACAGTTAGCCTTTTATCTGGATCTAGGACAAATATTTTTTCCAGCAGATCCTTGAAGTTGGCTAACATTTTTGGATCTTCACCAGAAGAACCCCTAATGATGTTACCAACATCTTTTGGCTTAATATTAACAATCAGCTTCCTAAGAGTCTGCACAAAAGCCCATAGCTCCAAGTTAATAAAACAATGCATGCAGCTTTGTTCATTTGAGATACACTATAATCATTAATCTTACTGCCTTACCTTCTTAGTGACAGGATCTTCATCTAACGCAAGAAAATTTAAATCCTGGTCAAAATGTTGCTCAATGAAAGCTCCCTGAAAAACAGAAAACATAAAGAAAAGAGCATATAAGAATAGTTAGATAAATATATAATTATTTTCAAAAGTCAGTGTCCTAATTATATCTTTATTAGAATTAGCTTTCCACCTCTTGTAAGAGGGTTACATCTTAGTATCTAAGAATTAAAAAAAAAAAAAAAAAAAAAAAAAAAAAAAAAAAAAAAAGACAAAAAAAAAAAAAAAAAAACTACTTAATTATGCTAAAATGGCATCCATGGTGAGTACCTTGCGAAGCATCTTCTTCGGGAAAGGACCCTTCAATTCCATATGAAGACGAAGCATATCATTGTTTGAGGGGCCTGGAAAGAGAACCTTTCCAGTATACAACTCATATAAACAGCAACCAACTGACCAAATGTCCATGGGGTGGTCATAGGGCAAGCCGAGAACTGCATCAGGAAAAATTACAAGCCTTAAACAATGAGCCAAACATTGATATGTATAGCGATGATATGTAATCAAACACATAATATCAGTTTTCATCAACAACAATGTCTTGTAACACAAATTAAAATTAAAGAACTTACTAATCTCAGGTGCACGGTAAAAACGGCTCACAAGGTACGGCGTGATTTCATTTTTACCAGCGAACATTGCATTTCCAAAATCACAAAGCTTCAGCACATTTTTAGATTCATTGACCTAATTGACAGAAGATTTAGACAAATCAGAAACAATTGAATTTGTTTATAAATAATGTGAATTAATAATTTTCTAAAAATTACCAGCATATTATCTGGTTTTATGTCACAATGTAGAACTCCGCAATTTCTGAGATGCTTCAACGCGATAAACAATTGCTTCGCATAGGTTCTCACAGCAGTAAGCTTAAGGCCAATATTACGACCAAACTTCTTTAGAACCTCACGCAGATTCATATGAAGTGATTCAAAAACTATACAGAGATGATTACGGTACTTGAAATTTGAAAGATAACGAACACAATGTCGGCGATCATCGGGATCTGAGCCAACTAGCTTCTTCAAAATCACCAGCTCTTCTGTCCCTGCTTTTAACCTTCATAAGAAATGAACAGCAGTTATTAAATTAGGACTTTAGGCACAATCACAATAATACAAATTCTCAATAGTAAAAGGTTGAAACAAAAGGAGTTACTAACATAGTTTCATTATTTCGTATTATTTTGATAGCCACTTCCTCTGGATCCCCACTTCCAGCTTTAAGATCCTTTGCACGAACAACAGTGGAAAATACACCTTTACCATGTGCTGCCGTGATTTCATAGCGACCATCAAGTATTTCACCAAATCGAAAACCTTTAAGAAACAAATAGAGAACCAATTAAAAAGAGCAGAAAGCTAACAGGAAGAAAAGTGTAGCGTTAACATGCCCTAGCCAGGGTAGAAGCATAAAAGGCACTAACTGTAATAAGACTCCTGATTATTAAGAAGAAGCTAGCAGGCTACATCTCCTTAAAAGTCAACAGAAAACAAGTGACAACTACAAGACAGCAATCCCCTGTTCAAAAAAGCATATAGTCAACAGAAATTCTTTTTTAAAAAAAATAAAAAAATAAATCAGAAGCCTTGATTTAAAACCTCAGAAACCTTACCCCCCAAAAAGGTCAGAACATGACAAAACTGACGGAGTTGTCTTAATATTGCAACACAAGAGGGGATTTTTATTTTCATCACACAGCTTTTCAACAAAACCAAAAATTTTTAGACCATCAACCAGATTAAACTCCATGTTCAGGGCTCAAGGCCAAATCGATGCTTTTACAAACCCACGCCACCACTTAAGATCTCTGATATACAGACTACAGATCTTAACATCTACAATCAATTCCAGACACCAATAGATGCATATAACAAGATTAAATAACCGCATGAAGCAGTAATTAGGTACAATAACCCCAAATAATAGCAATTAGCTACCACAGCAACTCAGCAAGCCATCCCATTCAAAATAAATATAAATAGTTAAAGCATAGGAGAATCTTTATTTTCAATGTGCAACAGAAGTCTTCCTATGCAACATCCTTTTTAGGTGGTTGATAAGCGAACAATGGAGCATAAAGAAAATAAAGAATAAAATACATTATAAGGGAAAGGGAAAGCAAAAAACTTCACCTACAGAATATTATTAAAAGAGAACAAGTAAACGCATATCCATTATTAATAGACATTCCCTCCTACAACCCCAATGTAGATAACGAGAAAAATCATACATAAAAGTCAATGCAAAGCAGTTAAAACAAGGAAAATGCAAGAATCAGAAAGAAACAGACTTACTGTAATATCCCTCTGGATCATCCCAATTATCATGAAGACCACTCCTTTCAAGAGGCAGACCATCTCCCTTACCCTGTCAAGTCAATGAAAGATCATGACCCATTATATATAATGTACATACAAATTTCAGTAAGTTACAACATGTTCACTAACTCAATATGTAAAGTTTAAACGGTCTAAATTCTCAATGGACCAAACCTACCCCAATACAAAAAGAATCAAAATAAAACACCCCTAGTATATCTACAATCATTCTAGAAAACTTAACTTAGGCAGGAAGCAAAATACATGAGCTACAAAAAATAACATCTTTCTTAGTGTATGATATGAATGTAACTCTCTCAGCTTCCACAGATAACAAAGTTGCCAACCAAATCTAATTAGTTTCACAATAACACCTACAAGGTTGATGATATTGAAGTATTGAACTATTTGTTGGCATGTTGCCAACATCACAATATATAGAATTTATCCCCCGAAGCAAAACTGTCCAAACTTTTAAAGTGACAGCTATAAATGAAAAACAGTTAAATAAGCACACGTACCATTTTACGAACTCCAGCAGGAGAATCTCCAAATATATCATCACAGAACATATCATTTGACCTTTCACTCTGCAAAAATATCATCCATAAGCTTAAAAAAACAGTAGAAATGGCAAAATAATACATTAAAATTAGATACCATCAACACTGTGCTAAATATTATAATCACAAAACAGTCAAAGCTATGCAATGCAAACATTTCTAGCCTTGACAAATAGAATATTACAAACACATCAATACAGTGTAACGGCATTGCTAATCTCGAAACCCAAAGCCCATTTCACATATTATCACCACAAACCAGATGCAAATCAGGTATCAAAAATAAGACTAAGCTTGCAGGTTCACATAATTGTACCCTGCAGGCTGCAGCCCCTTCAACAGGCAAAGACAGTGACCAGGTTAATTCTATATTTTATATAAATTACTTCCTCCGTTTTTTATATAGTTGCAACAGTTTGACTTTTACACTATTCATGTGTTCCACTTTGACTAGCTTTGACGATTTATAGCTATGCAAAAATATAGTCGTGGAATCTTTTAGATTCGTCTCGATTTATACTATTTTAATAATAAATGTTTATAATTTTTACATATGGGTAATTAAAGATATTAAAGATTGAAATCATGCATTGGCAAACGTGAAAAGAGAAGTGTTGCAACTATAAAGAAACAAAGGAAGTATAACTTTTGTTTCTAATTTACAATAAGGCCTCCCAATTGCCTAAATATACTCAACACTTCATAAGTAACTCCCTACAATGCATACGCAGATACAACACCAACCTGAGTTATTGCAAACAATTGGAGTTTGATATAAGCATGGGAAGACACAGAAAGAAGATTGTTTAAAAAAAAAAAAAAAAAAAAAAAAAAAAAAAAAAAAAAAAAAGAGAGAGAGAGAGAGTAACCAATGGGACCAAGCAAAGTGATCCGCAAATGATCATCTTGTTGATTATCCACCAAGCTCTAACAGGTCTTATTATGATAGCCAATATGCTAGAGGCATCGGCATGGTTGTAAAGGCAGGGGGCTTGGGGGGGGGGGGAGTCTTGCAGAAAGTAAGGAATAAGAAGTAAAAAATTATCTATCAAATTCTCCCTCCATTCCAAAAAGGGTCTTTTAAACAGATGAGCGGAGATAGTTATTACATTTGTATTTGAAAGAGATATATTAAATTGGCATTATATGATATAAATTGACGAGAAAACAATACACATAATCTTGTAAAAGAGAAAAATAATATGAAAATGATAGATGTTAAATGGACAGTTTGATGCAAAGGTATAAGTGTGCAAGAAGAAATGAGAATACACACACATTACTACAATTTTGAGCTGGTAGTCTTCTATCAGACGGTTAAATAACTTCAACCCTAGAAAACACAAAAATTACTACTTCAAAGGTCAAATATATATATCCAAGTATGAGCTGGTGGTCTTCTATCAGACAGTTAAATAACTTTAAAAATTACTACTTCAAAGGTTAAATATATCCAAGTATGAGCTGGTGGTCTTCTATCAGACGGTTAAATAGCCTTAACCCTTCTTTTCCAATTTTGACTAGAATTTTGAAATTACTTTAACATCAAAGGAATGTAACATCATTTCACATAAATCACTACAAGACTAACATTTTACCTATTTTTGGTAACTTATTTAGCTTTTTGTTTAACTAATACATGATCTGACAATATAGAAGTATAGGACCCGGCAAACCATCTTGTACAAAAGTTAGCCAAAACACAACTATAAGCCCCAACAATAGTTCTTTGTTAAATAACTATGACAGCAGGCGGTATTCAATTGCAATTGGAAGGCAGTAGATGAGAGAAGACAACATGCCACACATGCATAGGCATTATGCAAGGTAAAGTCTTCGAGAAAATAAATTGAATTATAAAACAACAGAAAAAATCCATACCTTAGGAGAACCCTCCCCCAGCATAACAGTATTCCTTTCAGCAGCCGTTAAGTCATTTCCAGGAGCAGATTTCCTCAAGTTTAAGGAAGTATCACCTACAGAATCCTTGTTAGCATCACCCTTAGCACCATTATTTTCTTTTTGAACAGCACTTGCAGAAGACAACTTTAGGGAAGGCTGCTTCGTCAGCTCCTCATCTGATACTGCACATTATAGAAGGCAAATATTAAGGCCCTTCAGACAAAGAACATTACCAGATGAGTAATAGTAGAAAAATGAATAACAAAAGAAAATAAAGATCTAGTTGAAATGGTTAAGTAACAAATAGATGCCTACGGAACAAAGATAAGCTTTACAAAGTAGTAGGAATTGTGCAAACCGCCACTGGTAGTTTCAAATCAATATCAAAGAAGCTATCACCAAATTTTACCTGATTGCAGATATAACAAGAAAATATGCTACAGCTTAATAGACAAGGCAACTACACCTCCTAGAGACACGATGGCAGTGCAACACAGACATACAACCATTGACTTTTATCCTTCCAAAAAAGAATTCTCTCTTCAATATACTTGAGTCCCTAATAGGATGTTAATAATAAAAAAAAATAGACTGCATTTCATTCCTCTTTACCCCTCTTAATTTGCAGGAGCCATGCATCACTTTCGACAAGAAGCTCTCCCATAAAAGATGATACTACAAGGCCAAAGGTGCAAGAAGGAGCTGCTTAGAGAAAAGCAACTCAGAAACGTAGCACACAGATTCTTTCAAAGGGAAAAAATTGTACCAATTACCAAGCAGGTGGCAACTGCAACACTTCTTCAAATTCCATAAGTCTCAATCTGTATACGTAAAGAACATTTGTACACACTATACAAACCCGTACACATAAAGAAACACTACTAAATACCAAATTCCCCGAATAAATACCAAGATACAGAACACACCTTTGGAGACTTCAGGCACAGCCTGCTGCTGCTGAAATTGTTTAGCTTTATATTTCTGAAGAATGGCTTCTCTTCGCCTTCTACTCTCCTCCTTGATTCTGTCGATATCATCCTCTTCAGGCTCTGCAGGCTTCAACTCTAGCATATCCTTGTCATCATCATCCCTGACAAGAAAACTAACAAATCAGCTTTCAATACAATGCAAATGAGAAACATGAAACTCAAACATTAAAGAGAGGTTCTTGAATGAACAAAAATTACCCATTCAATGCATCTTCATTTTCCATCAGAGAATCATCTTTAGTGGCCTTATCTTTATATGGATCATGCTTCGTCTTTCGGTCCTTGAAATATTCTGCTTCATCATAATCACTGCGCCTATCTCGATTACTGTATACATCATCACGGTCATCATATTTATGGTATCTACTGCTCCTATCATCCTTGTTATCTCTAGCCTTATCTCTATGTCTATCGCTGCCACTATATCTGTCTCTTCCCCTATCCATCTCCGACTTTTGAGACCTGTCCCTTACCTTATCCCGTTCTCTCTCAGCATCTCTATCTTTATACATGGATGTGCTATCATCTCTCCTCCTTTCCCTGCCAAGATCCCTGTCCCGACTCCTTCCACGATCTTGCTCCCTTCTCCTTTCTCTTTCTCTATCCCTTTCATGGTCCCTGTCCCTGCTCCCACCACGATCTCGATTCCAGTCAATATCACTCTTTACCTCTCTATGAATCCCCCTGTCCCTCACAAAATCCTTCTCCCGTTCATGGTCTCTGCTCCGGATCCTATCACGCTCCCTTTCGCTCCTCTCTTTTATTAGCTCTTGCTCCATTCGTTTCTTATCCCGGTACATCTTCTCCTCTGTCTCATTGTGCTTAGAATCACCATCTTCATGCTTTCCTTCATGCAAACTAGACCTGTGATAGCTAGAACTTCTCTCTCCTCCTTTATCCTTAACCTTTTCTCCACCATTAGATCTGTAATCTTTACCTCCACGACTATCCTTTTCATCATCCACCTCATAACCAACCTTGCCATTATCATACAGCTTTTCATCCCTTTCACTGCGATGCCTTGTTTTTGAATACCTCTCGTGCGCAATGCTCTGTGAACGCTCTCTTTCTTTCTTCCAATCAGGAGATTTAGACCAGCTCCTATCACTAGTCTCTAGATGGTACCTTCCATGAGAAGGGGAGAGATACCTTGCTTCGTGGCGGTCATCCCTAACCTTATGAGAAAATGAATCTCTTCTACTTCTAAGATCATCTTCATCCACCTCCATTAATTCAAAGGCATGTTTGCTTTTGGTCCTAATACGGTCCTTCTCCTTGCTTCTTTCTTGTAAAGGAGACTCATGCCCTGTATGTGACCTAGATTCTCCCTTTCTAGACCTGCGAGTAAGATCACCATTAGCCACCCTATCTGACAAAGGAAATTCGTCATGATGAGAGTGACTCCCGTCTTCCTTGCTCTCACTACCACTTCGATCACTTCTAGGAGACTTCAAATACTTCTTAGACTTCCCACTTTTATCATTCCGCGTCACATTATGATTGCTTTCAGGATTTTCTAAATCAGTACCAACAATCTGTGGCACAAGGAACAGTAAAAAAGCTAAGCAAACATCACTCAAAAATTCAAATCGAACACGAAATAAATAATGCAACACCCTGCAAAAACTATGCAATAATAACATGTAACTAAGTCTTACAACTTAAATCCGCACTGAAAACCATTGTCTTCTGGATTCATGATTCACCCTAAAAGAAGGCATGCTGTCTTTTACGTAACCGTCTTTAGGATGCCCATTGCCCCATTAATCATATCCAATGTACATACTATATGGTAAAATCTATATCACAAATTCTACATTTTGTCAGCTCATAAAATAATCCAACAAAAAAGAGTTCAATTTCTTTTCATATTAATCATATACTCAATCTAATTACCACAATCAAATAAAAAAATCAATCAATTAAGCAAGAAATTGAAAGAGGGAAAATCAGAAACACACCATGTAAGAATCATCACCGGCCTTAAATTCACCTGATTCGACATCGGACCCGACCTTCTTATCGAAAGAATCGACTTCAGCAGCAAGAACACCTTCATCATCAACAATCTCACCTTCCTCCATATCATCATAATCAACAAGAGGAGCTGGTTTCGTCACCTCTTCCACTACTTCCTCTCTATTCACAACCTCAATTTCATCTTTCTTCGCATCTCCATGCTTCGAGCTGCTATGGCGGTAATGGTGGCGATGGCGGCGGTGGTGACGGTGATGGCGGTGCTTGTGGCGCTTCGATTTCTCCGGCGAATCGTCATCGGAGGGAGAACGACTGTGCTTGCGATGAGAATCATGGGAATCGCTCGCCATTAATGGAGGAATTACTAGGGTTTTGATTTGGGTTTGGGAGAATTAGGGTTCGGGACTGAAAGGGGAAAAGGAATTGTTTGATTGATTGCGAGATGAATAACGATAGTTAGATATATAAATGCCGTGTCTGGGAATATTGATAATTGAAGTTTTTTTTAAAATTTTCCGAGTACTGAAAACCTTGGGTCTCAATTTTATTTTTATCCTTTGGGTAGTCTCAATTTATTTCGAAGTCCATAAGAATCATGTCAAAATCTCGTAATTTTGGAAAAATTCCGATCATTAAATACGAAGTATTTGTTATGCAAGGTGAGTGCAGATATTGTACTTTTGGTACGATATATTCTAATTTACATCACAAAATTAAATTAAACAAGTAATTGTGATTCTATAAGTTTACTCGTACATGACAAGTAGATTATGTATTTTCCATATAATTAGATTGAGGCAACGGTGAGTAATATGGGACGAGGAGTATACACATAGGGTATCAAAGTTTGTAGTGTGTAAGAGTAGTTGTACCAAAGTTGTGGATATCAAAGACCATCAAAGTTGCAAAGTTTGGAATATATTGGTGTTGTTTGATGTGTAGAAAAACAATTGTCTTGATAAGGTACGAGTGGGCAACCTGTTTATGAATTAAAATAACAAAGATCTCTTAGGGTAATATTGTGTGGGTTTTAACTATGTGATGATATTAATGTTCAATATACACAAGCGTGAGGTGTAAGAGAAAAATGTGAAACATAATACCTAGCATGTCATTTGAGCTTAGGTATGAGACTATGAGTTTAGTTTATACTTCTCACCACTAAAGATTTGTGAGGGCTTTAAAATGAAGATAGGAATTACTATTGGATCCAATCTAAAAGAAAAGGTTTTTCATAGAATTCGAGGTAGATGCCAAGACTTCCACGGTACCACCCCTCCAAGCTATTCTAACGATGAAGCAATTACTCGTCTGTTATAGAGGCCAGGTCGCAAAACACATCTTGAACTAGAATACACACGTGTTGAATTCAACTTTAATTGCAAGTGCATTATGAAGTAGCGCGCGTCCATAAGAAAAGTTTCCATTTTGGTTGTGAATGTTAAGGATCAAAGAATCTTCCAAAAGGTAGTAGCGGCGTTAGGTAAAGTAGCAGAAGATAGATTCTCTTTCTAAGCCTATCACAAACTAGTTTTATTTCGGGGTCTTTTGATGTGTCCTGCGGGAGAGTTACGTCACCAAAACTGGATCCTCGTACGCCTGTACCTGCAATAAATGGAAACTCCAGTTGTTCGAAGCTCTGCCTCCAACACGCAAGTTAGTACCGGGTGGAGTAATAAATGCGGAAAGTAAGTAGAGTAGATCTTCTCGGATCCCGAGATCTAGGGAATTTCACTGTAGAGAGTGAATAGTGTAATAAATGTGTGAGTAAAGATTGTAAGAATGTAGATGCCCTCCCAAAGTAATGAATGTCCCTATTTATAGGGTATGGGAGTGCATGCCCTTATCCTAGGTTATTTAACCTAGGTAATTGGGCTGCGCCGTTTTTACATACAGTGCCTCAGGATTTGGGCCCTTGAAGGCCGCCATTTCCCTAATGATAGGAGGTGCCATGTGTCAACCCCTGTGGGTCCCATTGGGACAACTCTTGAGGTAACACGTGTCATGATCTCATTTGTCCACATGGCTTTTACCCTAATCAAGTTTTAATTAGATATTATCCCGAATACATATGGGATCATTAACGAATAACAAAAGTCTTAGCTTCTTTATCAATCACCGGAGATTCCACAGCAAGAATTATGGTAGCGACATTAGGTTGAAAATAGTTCAACACCATGTTAGAATCCCAACAATGTGCCTGAGGATGTATGAAGTAGTAACTTATGATCCAATCCTTATCATTGCTAAGTAAACTTCCTCTAAAACTTAAGTTTGGTAACATGACCGCAATTTGAACTTCATGCTAATATGGAACATCCATACCCACTTTCCAACTATAGCCTTTTAAATTAACAGAGGTTTGCCCGCTTAAAGCAACCCTTGAAGTTCGTAAGAATCATCTCTTGTGGACCTGCTTCTAGTAGGGGTGAAAGTAATTCGATTTAAAACCAAACCGAATAAGCAATATGGTTCGGTTTCTTTTTTAATATGGTGCGGTTTGGTTTCAAAAAATAAAAAATTATGGTTTGCGGTTTGGTTTCGGTTTCGAGTTTAGAAAAACTAAAAACCGAACTACAAACCGAAATTTTAGGATTCCTAATTTCCTAGAGTCCAATCCCTTCGTATATAAGGCAACAAAAAAAATAAAAAATAAACCCTTACGCCATCATTAGGACTTGCTATTTGTTCATAGCCTAATATATGACATTTGTTTGCTTTATTTTTGGAAAACTTAATTAAATCAAGCCCAAAACACTGGTATTGAAAAATTATGCCAAAAAAATTATTGTTACAAATCAAAGCCCAAAGCACTAGATCCAAAAATTGCGATTTGGTTTGTTTTTTTTTTTTTAAAAAAAACCGAATTATATATGGTGTAGTTTGGTTTGGAGTAATATGGTGCGGTGCGGTTTGAAAAATTCCAAACCGAATTAATATGGTTTGATATCGGTTTGGGCTATAAACCACACCGCAAACCGAACTTTCACCCCTGGCTTCTAGTATTTGTGGTATCTGAAAGGAATTTTGTCAAGCATTGAAATGTTTTGAAACAAGCAATAGGTGTGGGTTTTGATTCTCCAAACTTGCTTCATGAGGAGAGCTTTATTCAAAGTAGATAGACATCTAATTTCCAAACCTCCCATTCCACGAAGAAGATGCACAATATCCCTATTTACCCAGTGTAATCCTTTGTTTTCTTTAGTCACCTAGAAAAAGTGTAAAAGTAAGGAATGAGTAGTTCAAAGCAAGAAAGTACATGAGACACCATAACTACAAGGATAGAGTTAATGAAAATTCACGTTTGTGGTTGAGAAAGCCTAGGAGAATTCTAGAATTTTGTCGCTGGTAAACTAGAAGTAATCTGTTTTTCTTTCCAAATAAATCAATGGGAGTACCCAAAATGGTGGTCAAAGACCTTTACATGCTTCATACGAAAGATTGATGAATTTAAATTCATCCAAAGCAACATGATTGGTTTCTTGGCAACTTATAATGAGTCATTGATAATCTAATATTGACTTAGGCTCTTTATTATTATTATTATTTTTTTTTTTTTTTTTTTTTTTTGCAGTAGTATTGTTTAAATCAAGCTGCATTAAATTAGTAGCTAGAATTTTTGGTATGTGTATATTCACACTTACATTATAAAACCAAATTTAAAACTTCTTTGTATTTCTAATTTACATTCTAGGGACTTTTAATTTAAATATTGTTATCGAACATAAAACCAATAACCTTTCAGCCAACACTAGTTTGGCCCATATCAACATCTTTGTACTTAGTTAGGTCAACTACCGGCTTCATAAATAAAAATTAATCTATACATCATGCAACATGAGCATGAGAATGACCATTTCCCATAGGTGGTTGATTATCAAGGGGTTGTTCTTGGGGAATTCCTTCATCAAACTCTTGTATTTCCAAAATCTCCACCCTTCGATTCATCCTTCTCCTAATCTTTATGGCCACATCAGATGGCCTAAATCTCCCGCACACGCTTACTCTGTTGTATTGTCTTTCTATCACATGTGTTTCCAACTCTTCCAATACCAAACGAAAACAAAAACAAATCAGGTAATTATAATTAAAAAAAAAAATTAATTTTACAAGTAGATTATTTATGTGAATAATAATCTATTGATTTTAATTTGTTAACCAGTATTTTCCAATTTTTTTTTTTTTTTATGTATTCAAACAATCAAAAACTATGTTTAATGAATGACTTTTGAACTTGAACATTCTAATCTACGATGATTTTTTTTTTCTTAAGAGATATGGAGTAAATAAAAGGTTTAGCTTATTTAGAATTACTATTAACCTATTGTCTGTAATTTAAAACTCTTTATTCAAAAAGTTAATACATAAAGTTGCATCGTAAAAGCCAACCAACAATAATCGTGTAACTAAAACAATGCGTTATATATGAACTCAATTCAACCTCACCTTTCATATTGAGAAGAGTTCTTCTAAGTTTTTTGTAACACCCTTTGCAGTCAATTGAGATTCTCATTAGCATGCAACAATACTGCAACAACATATCCTCAGATAAAAAATGTAACATAGTGGAGTAATAAAATATAAATAAAAATCCAAGAACTAAAAATATAAATAAATAAATAATTGTTAAGAGGTTCAACTTGCCTTTGTTGACATAGAAATTTCATGAGGGTTGGACCAAACAACTGGAGCAACTTGGCCTGTAACTTTTGTTTTATTATTAGGATTTGAGCAGGAGAAATTTAAGAATTTACTGAAGAAATTCTGTTTTACTTTTTGGGGTTTCATTTTGGAATCTGATTCTGCTTCTATTTGATAGAGATTGTTAACATGGAATGATGTGTTGCATATATATATGGTGCACGAATTTTGTGTCATATCATAGTGTATTGATAAGTAATTAGAATATCCTCCTAGATGGGCTAAGGTTTTCTTAAGTATTCCTTTATGTTTCTTCGTCCATAAACTTGGCCTCCTGTACAAAACCTAAAACTAAATTTTTGAGTTTGGTTATTCTCAAGAATCTGGCTTGCCTAGCCTAATCATTCTCGGGACTGCATGCAGCGCGTTATCATGGCATCTACCTTGAGGCTAGCGCCTGTGTTTTTCCGTATTACAATAGCACATAAACATTGTAAAATTTGGTTTCTGAGTAAGTTTCAGACACCCCGTTAGCTAAGAGGTCCGACAATTGCAAAGAGACGTGATAATGTGATGTATCATAAGAATAACAAATGAAAGGAAGAATTGACATCTTAAATTGATCAATTTTATAACACTCAAGTAACAAACCTTCACACACCAGAAAAGGAGAAGTTCTGAAAGATCAGAAAAAGAAGAGTTTTCACTATACAGGTACCCTGCTCTATTCCAATCTGTTTACTTACATTACTACTTTATGGCGGCGCTTCATGGATGATTCAGACCAGAAAGTTTAAGTCCTTGACGATCCAAATATTCGCTTAATCAAAGCCACCTTGCCGAAGGTAATCTTTTGACGGGCAATAATTTGTTTCTTTGAGCCTTTGATGTACTTACAAGTGATAGCCACCTTCTTTTCTGACAAATTCACCACCACAGATTCTGTTTCTGTATTAAGAAAAACAACGAACATGAATAATTTTACCCTGTACTGTCAAGAACTACTACGACAACTACAAGTCTACAACAACATCGGATTCAGACTAAAAGAAAGAACTCACCATCAAAACGAGAGATCATGTCGAGAATCCTCTTCTGACAGTCAGAGCACCTCACGTCTGCTGATAAAACAACCTCCTGCACCTGTTAACAAAATGAACAACAATAAGCACGCATTTTGGAAGCAAAATGCATTGCAGAGAATTCAGTAAAAGTTTTTCGACAACTGACATCCGGCATGGTTAGGGACTCCATAAACCCAAGGCTAGGGGAGGACTGATCACTTCTGATAACCTCTATCGCCTCCGTTGCAGATTCAATATCAACATCAAATGCCTTCATTCTTTCTATTACAATATAACGAAAGTTACCTAACAAACACTATGCTTGCTGGCTTCAACAGTTTTTATAATACGCGTAATTAAAATAAAAATTTCATACTTGCGTTAACAAATCTCAATCCCAGAAGCTGATAAAATACTGAAAAGGAACTAGTAGCAGACTATCCTATATTGAAAGAGGAATACCATCTTTTACTATTCTACCTAAAATTCTGAAATAGTACATAATTTGATGAAGCAGAAAAGTCAGTATCTAATATGATTAGACAGACGAAAGTAATGGGAGCGTAGGAAGGTGTACTTTTTATAATATTATACGGAGTATACATTTTTTTTTTTTTTTTTTTGATGAAGCGGAGTATACATTATACAATTAACAATATGCTTGGATGTGCATAGTTGATGAATAGATGCTTTGAAAAAGAGTGGTACAATGACCCCACAAACTATGTATAATTATTGGTGGTTTGGTAAATTTCATATGAACGTCTTGATTTTAGTCTTCGTCATTATTTGTTTTACAACGGAAATAAATGCTCTACAGCTGAAAAATTGGGGTATTAAGCTGATTGAATAATTTGTAGTTAAATCATTGGTTCCGAAACAATAAAGTGATTGTCATGCCCGAAGTGTATGTTGTAATTCATTTCTAAATGATAACACCCATACATTTTGGGCGATAAGAAGTGCACTTAAGGTTTAAGACAATCTTTTAGGAACGAAAAATAACTATTACGATTATGAAACCACCACTAAAATGGAATGATGAATAGATCAGAGATTTTTTTTTTTATTATAATTATTTTCATACAGTATAAATAACGATACAATCTTTGATCATTAAGGATGGAATTGGGACCCAAAAGTCAAAATAGGAAACGCACCCTTCCACCATTATAAAGAGTAAAGCAAAAGCTGGAGCATCATAAATTATGCTTTAATTGAGGTAATAAAAGCAATTATATATGAGCACTTTCTTTTCAGCACTATTCTTTACCTCAGCCCTATAAATCACCACCTGATTATACTGTCCTCTTTGGTCCTATCAGACCCCAAGATTCTTCACCCGAGAGCTACCAGTCCATGACTGTTAACATCATTAGAATTGTAGAATCCCTGCTCAAAACCCACTTAGATGACACAGGAAAGACTGAGACATCCAGGGACTTGTCTCCTTGGATTGCTAGCCATTGCAGCTCAAGTTTCTTATGGTCCTCAATGACCAGCTTGCTCGCATTCAGATACATGAGATCATTCTCAAAGGAGATAACCATCCCGTTTACGGCAAGTCCTACAGCATGGTACAAACCTATCAAGATCCACGATGGCAACTCTATAACCACCTGCTCTTCAAAGAGCTGTTCAATTACAGGGGTCTCTCTTGGAAGCAAGCAAGCTAAGCCCACTCGTCATTCTCAATATAGTAGCAAGATGTTGCCAATATTGCTCAATTACTGGCCCACGGAAATAGTTTCAGATCTGCATCCTCCCTTTGCTGCACAGGCATTAAACACCTAGGAGCACGAGGATAGGAACAATTAGAACTGTAGTTACTCCAAAACATTCAATAGCATGAGCATGATGAGTCAATTACTCAATAGCTATAACAAACAACGCATTTTTAATAATACAACGACGAATTCATATCCATGATAACACACAAATACACCATCAGTCAGTCAGATCACTAAAATACCATATACCTTCATTTCAGTGAGGACAATACAAACGATACAAGCTGTGAGATCTTTATTACTTAACGCGAATATACAAAACTACCAGAAACCTAGGCAAAGTAAAAAGTTACACCTTCAGAGGTCAAAGACTGCATGATCAAGCAAAAAAGAGGTAAGAAAAAAACCTAACATCCTAAAATACTCCTATTTGTTATTCTAAATCTTACTCAAAACTAGTTCCCAACAGTTTCAAAATCTATTCGCACCTGTGGGTCCTTGTTAAATATGAGTTGATACACATCTTTGCTCTGTCACCTCGCCCTTGCCTAGGATGACAATACTAGTTCCCTGCCAATTTTGTAGTAAGGAGAACAGAGATGGTTATCTTCACATGGATGAACGCAAAAGAAAATACTGCCATGACCTAAATGCCCGGTTAAAGATGGATTCACAAGCATAGAAAGTAAATTATCTGGACATAACAAGACTGGTTAAACACGGCACTACAGATGGGCTGAAAATAGCATCAGTTATGTACTTGCAGTTGTCACGGTCAACTTTAACAGACTTGCGATGCTCTTTTTCAGCTTTCAAGGCGGAAGGTACACGGAACACCTCATGATTGTCACGCCTTCTTTCAGGGTTAAACCCATAGCTCCTACGAGGATAAGGCTTCTGAACAAGTCCGCTGCGCTTTCTCTTACATGATGACTCCCACTTCAAGTGTGAAAGGTAATCATCTTTCAAAAGATCAGTCACAGCTGCACTGTTTTCCTTCTTGTACATGATATTTATACGGAAAGTATTAGAACAATCTTGAGACCCATGCTCATCTTTACCAATATCACACTCAGGATGTTTGGAAACACAAGCTTGCAAATGCTTTTCGCTGCCATACTTCACACATCTTCCCACTTTCAGGTCAGACACTATGGACATTGCAATATCTGCCCTTTCACTTAATTCTTTCCAAGCACCCTTTACCCACTCTTGGGAATGTCTCAAATCACTTCGAGAGAAGACGGCTTCTCGCTTTTCACCTAATATGAGAGTTATCTGTAGTTAGTTTATAATTTAGATATAGTTAGCAAAGAAAATATCCTATACAGAGAGACCAAATTCCACGATATCACAAGAATGCTTCTTACCTGGAAAATAAACTAAGAGTTTCTCATTAGTTTCTTTCCTAATAACAATACCCTCCCACCAGCCATCATGCCACCAAGCATCAACAATGGTGCCAACGTTGATGGCCCACGTGACTTTGCCATCACTTATCGGAGAAGGCCTTAAAGTTGTCCGACCATCAAGTCGAAGGCCCATTGCATCACTAACAGCAATTCTAGATGCTAATACCCATTCCTGAAAATATAATCAAACTCTTAATAAACTGAAAATATATAATATATACTTGTATATAACAAAGAAAGCAAAAATTAAGACACAAATAGGTTGTCATATAAGAAAGGAACAATTAAAATTACACAAGCTGACAGGAATAATTTTACCTTTTCCTTCACACCAAAATTCTACATTATTTATTTTAAAACAATTACTACATACAATATCGATATGATAAAGGCTACCAAACGTGGTTTCACAACCAAAATTCAGCACAAATAAATTCACATAAGAAATTTTTAAGTGAAAAGGGCATGTTTCTCTAATTGCTTTAGTGATAACCCAAATTCTAAAATTTCATTAATAAAAGTGGTCCACAAAACTCAGATTCATTCAAACATAAAAAATTCAAGCAAATAGCTCAATATAAAAGAGTTGCAGTCTATTCCCTATTTATTTCTCATTGTTTTCCCAGGCAAATATTGGTCTAGATGCTGAAAATTACCTCAAGACAATTAGCTTCATTCTCTGCATCCTTGATGTCATGATAACGAAGCTTTACTTTGTTCTTGTGCTTCTTTATGATGGTTGCTCTAAACCAACAACCGAACATCCCACTATCTTGCGACAAAATTTCAACCACTGAACCCACAGCTGTGTGTTGCACTACAACTTCAACATTCTCTTTTCTAAATACAGTGAAGCCAGAACCCTGTGCTACGCTGGCACTGGTATGACCTGTTGCGGGAACAGTGTCCAAAGAACCTCTTACAGTAGCACATTGCATGTCCTCTTTGAACTCTCTTGATAAACGCAGTCTCTTTCTTGGTTTACTCCCATTGAAAGCACTGATATCTTCCTTTTTCCAGGAATGCTCAGGCAGACAAGTATTCTCAATAACCCTTGCTGAAGGAAGAGAAGCTATGTATCTGACAGCATCCTGCTCCCAGTAACCTTTCACTTGAGTTATGTCCAAAGGCTTGAGATCATCACTCTCATACTGCTGACAGCACATATATGGTCGAAGCAAAGCATGCTGGGCTTCAGACACAAACTTGGCATAGTGCCGGGGACTTAGAACCATGGCAAATCCATCAATGCATTCAACACTGAGATCTTGAAGGCAAAGAGAAAACAAAATCTCTCTGTCGTTAAAATTGGGAGGCAAATCAATACCAACCTCGTCAATTTTATGAAACCACCGTACCACAACCATCTTGTTTCCTTTCACATCTTCATACATATCATCCAAGTAGGCTACAAGCCTTTTGTTCTCCTCAGCCAAAACACGGACAAACTGATTAACCTATTAAAAAGATTATAGAATATTGTTAAACTCTGCAGAATCACACAAATATTTCAGATGAATACAAGTAATAATGTGAAATATCCAAGCAGATAATGTAACTTAGTCTCACCATGAATTTAACTCCATTACGACGGAAAGCTTTATAGTGCTTCCTCTTCTTTTTGCAAGTCCATTGGGAGCCTAACCATTGAAACTCTTTGGTATTATGACCAAGCTTCCTTAGTTGGATGGCCTTGGCAATAAAAAAAATTATATTAAGACTCATAAACCCTATTAAAAAAATATCCAAACATTAAAACCACTTTTGACATCACAAGTAGCTAAAAAGTCTCAAAATAGGTACCTTAATTGTTTCTACATCTAATACATCAGGTTCACTTCCGTAAGTTGACCCACCAGACTGGGGAGAGACAGGAGTCGGTGATTCTGTGTTCAATCATCAGATAAATGACAATTAGCATTGATATCAATAAGACATCATTCACAATATTTGTAAAAGAAGAGAAAACACCATGCCACACCAAACAAAGCTACACTATCCTAACAAGTGATTACTGAAACACAGCATTCATCTGAGAACTACATACCAAAAACAAGAGGCTATAGTTAGCAGCAAAATACACAAATGCAGTTTTGATGTACGAGGAGAGGCAACAGAAAAAGAACATTTAGATCATAACCTATAAATGATGAGGGCATGAGGATGCCAATGCTCTCAACCAGCTCTTAATCCTGCAGCCCAGATCATAATAAGCTATTATTAAGCGCAAGGTAAGGGCTTACATAATAAGTAAGCAATTTTTTAAAACAACTTAAAATATCAACACAAAAGAAAATGGAAATATTCAGGGAGAAAATTACTGAACAAATGGTGAACAAATTAAAAATATCACATAAAATCATCCTTAAACTTGTAATAACTTAACTGCAATACCAGATCACAAGCAAAAGAACTAGAACCTTCTAAAAATAGCTCTAACTTCAAAACAAATATAAACATGATTTCCAATTCAATCAACTCGATAAGCAATCACCCAACTCAAAGGAATAGAAACAACAGGATTTTAAATCAATTAACTCAATACGCACTAAGCCAATCAAAAGAATAGAACAGGAATACACATCAATCAAGCCAAGATAAAGTAAACCAATTCAAAAGAATAGAATCAATAAGTTTTTGATGCAAATAACTTGAGCAGTGCAAATAACTTGAGCAGTGCAACCACTCAATAGAAAAAACCAACAGGAATCATGAATAGTTAACTCAAGAAGCAATTAACAAACAAAAAAAAAAAAAAAAAAGCCCAACAAGATTACAAACCAAAAAAAAAACCCTAAAAATCCTAATCACATATACCCACCATAGTTTTCTACCAAAAATAAAATAAAAAAAAAGGGGGGCAAAGACAACAAATATACAACCATTTAAACAATAAAAAAATATATATTATATCACAAACATAATAACAGATCAATTGAAATAATTAGCACATATAATTCAATTCAATTCAATTCCAATAAACGCTCCAGACAAACATTATAACTATAAGATCTGATACTTCATCCCCCAAATCTATCTATTCCTTAAAAAAAATTCCTAATTCTTATACTTAAATCAAATGTTTATTATCTGAGGAAATGGTTATAATTTGTATTATTTTGTTGAAAATTAAAAGGAAATCTTAGAGATAAGATGTGGGCCAAAGAAATTAAGGATTCAATTCCTCGGTATAAAAAATTCAACACGGAAATCCATTTATTCAGCTCACCTCTCTAGTCCAAAATCAAGGAAAAAGATTCAATCTTTTTCATTAAGAACACTATTCACGCCCCCATATTTCAAATTTTTAATAGTATTTTATATCCCAAATATAAAAAATCTATAAATTATGTAGGAAAAAAATTCAACAGAAAAATAAATTTCCAGATCTAGAAAGTTTATTTGAAAAAAAAAATAGAATTTAAATTTGGCTCAAATTATAGGAGGGAAAAAAAAATTCTTGATTTTCAAAAATTTGATGAAGAACGCAGAAAAAACACAGGGAAGAAAAACCGTACAAATTTCAAATTTTGCAAATTAAAACGAAAAATCCTAGAATTCCAATTATTTGACAAATTTGGAGAAACCTCCAATTCTCTCAAAAAAATTGAGTGAATAAACAGAATATCAGATCTGAAATTGACCTTGGACAATTGACTCAAATTCATCCTAAACCCACTTCCCAATTCCAGAAAAAATCAAAATTACATTAACACCAACAATAAAATTAAAAATAAAATCTTTCCATTAAACATCCTACAAGTAATCCTCAAAACGGCTGAATTTGATTTTTTAAAAATTTCATGATTTACAACTTTTGATGAAGAAAGCCGAAGGGGGGAGAAACAATAGCTGAAAAATGCAAAAAATTTGCATCTTTCAAAAACAATCATTGAACAAATTAACAAATCCAAAAAACAAAGTTGAAGAAAATAAAGTTCCGTTAAATTAATCAACCCTAAATTCCCAAAACACTTGACACAATTGCGAATAAATAACCCAAATCTCTCAAAAAATTAGAATAAATAACACAATTTCAGATCTGAAATTAACCTCGAACAAATCAAACCACCTTCCAAACCCCAACAAAAAAAAATCAAAAACACGAAAATTAACACCACGAATTAACCTCGAACAGAATCCAAAAAAATCAATAAAAACCACAACAACAAAATCAAAATCAAAAAATACCTGGAGTAAACGAATTCAACCAATCAACAACTTCCTTCTTGGATTTAGGCTTAACAAACGAAGAATAATCAAGCAAAAATCGATAAGTCATATGCCTCAAACTCTTCTCTTTAGCAATAACAGCAAGATCAGAACCTCCATCTTTTCTCTTCAATACATAATGAATCTCTCTCCTCCCTTTCTCTCTACACACATACACCTCTTCCCATCCCACATACACCACCTCCTTCGTCGCCGTCTTCGCCGTCGCCGGCAATTTCTCCATTTTCACCAAAAAAATTAAATTATATTGAAAAAAAATTAATTTTTTAATTTTAATTGAAGAAGAAGAATCCAGAAGCTCTTCTCGCTTTATCTTTTACTTTATTTTTTAATTTTCTATTTTGTTTTTTTTTGGTTGTGAAGATAAAAGGGGGAGAGTGGGCTGAGAGTAATGTGAATTATATATGTAGGAGAGAGAAAGAGCGGAAAATTGAAATTAGGGTTTTTTCAAATCAACGGTTGAGATTGATTTGAATAGAGACGGTTGAGATTGAGTTTGTCCTACTCGATGACACGTAAGAAACTCTGTAGGAAATTGCGGGTTAACTTTGAATTTTTGTAAGGAAAATTACGGTTTTATCCTTGGATATTATTATTTTTTAAAATATGGAAAATTTTATGATGATATTCTATCTTATCTGCAATTGGAAGGAAAATTATTGTGTGTATCAGAATTCAATTTGTGAGATTTGATATAATTTTAATTTTGGAAGGAAATTAAATTAAATTTAAGGATGGGTATTGTTGGAATAAAGTCAAGGTATCAATAGTTGACTGAAATTAGTGGTAAGTTGGCGCGGAGTTTTTGGTTTAAAGGTTTTGGTTAAAATTTTAAATGTTAGTTACCCCCTACTTGCTTAGATATTTTATGGTCAACTTGAACGTATTAAACTTTCGAGGAAGTTACATTTGAGGAATTATTGAAACTTGAAAGTTGCGGTTTCTTAACAACTAAATGGGCATAAGCGTGCTCTTTAGGCCCAAATGTCATGCGAGTGTGTAATATTTAGGTGGGTTATACTAAGAACGGATTATCAAAAAGTTATGTTAAACTCGTGTTGTTCATAAGAACAGTCCATGCGTACCTCGTCCTACGTCGTGTTAGTGGGTTCTCTTAACAATTTTCATGAATTTGTCAAATTTGTTAAATCTAATATCATATCATATTTTATCACTAATAAATAAAGCTGGCAGACCACGCGAAAGCGACATTTGTATTTCAGTTTTTCGCCAAGTGTCGAACCATGTAGACAACATAAGTATTATTGTGACACATATAATGCTAAGTAGGAGAATTTTGGATAGATTTTTTAGATAAAAATGTTGTATAGAGATTTATTATCGATATGCTTTTAATATTTTATATATACAAAATTAATCATAACTTTTAATAAAATTTCCTACAACTTGGTTCATTTTCATCATTAAATTCATTTTAAAAAGTTCTTTAAAACAAGATCCATTTGTAATATACTTAATTTATAAAAAAATAATAATAGAAAATCAGTAAAATTAAGTTTTAATCAGAAAAAAATAAGTTTAAATCGTTAAAAATACTTTTAGTTTAGTAAAAATAATTTAAGTTCAATTAAAAAAAATTCAATTTAATAATAACATATATATATATTTACAAACAAAACTACAAAAAGCATACTATTATATAAATAAGCGATAAGATATCTTATGACTAAATATTTTGCATTATTAAAAGCGATTATACGACCGTATTTAACACTCAAGCCAAAAATTTTATACTAAAATTTTATCAACAATCCGGACATTGCTCGGGCACAAAACTAGTATATATATAAAGGAGAGTTTTTTTCCGAGTTTTTAGAGAGCCACTTAATATTTTCTTAATGGTCATGAAGGATTATAAATTTTAGTTATAGCCAATTAAATAAGAGATTAGTAAATTCTTTTAGAATTAAATAATTCAAATGTCACATAAACAAAATTGGCGAATGAAATTTTAAAGTTTAAATTAATTAAATATAAAATACTATCTTTTGAGATTAGGAATCAATCAATAACTATATACTAAAGGCAAAACCTGGAATGACACTTGTCATTTCCTGGTTAAAAATTTTCCCGCCTTTTTTTTCTTTCCTTTTTTTTTATTTGCCATTTTTTTATGACATTCATTTTATAACCTACAATAATAGTTATTTTGATTTTGAGAATATATTTAATCCAATTAAACTCAATTTTTTTGTACATATATTTTACATACTAGGAAACTTTTAGTTACAAAAATAATAACATAGATAATATAGATTAAAAATTAGGTATTGTAATATATTATATTCCAAGATTATTATAATATTATCAATATCAATTTTTTTTCTCCAACTTTTGTCATTTGACAATAAAATTTATTTAAATTAAAAAAGAAAAATCATTTTGGTAGCATATTTGTATAAATCTTAAAAGGGTTTTTCTACGCTGTAACCTCGTTTTTTTTTCACTTTTCTACGTTTTGCCCTAACATATATGACTTTCTACGCTGTAACCCTAAAACACGAAAAGTGACTATATTGTGCCCTCGTCGTTAACTTGTCGTTAGTGCTTCCGTTAAAACCCAAAAATTAAACTTTTTTTTTTCATTTCCCCTTCCTCTTTCCCTTCTTCCCTCCATTACCACCAGAGCGGCCCGGACTCAGTCGAGTCGTCGCCGTCGTCGTCGACTCTCTTTCTCTCTCCTCCAATCTCCACCAAACCATGGCAGCAGCCCCTGCCCCCTCTTCTTACAACCTACAAATCGCAACCCCCGCAACCACCAGAATCAATCACCTTCTCCCCTCAACCCAAGCACACACCAGCCCGCATCACACCACTACAACAGCGGCTCACCCACCGCCGCCGACACTCCCTGTTACCCCGACCTCCCCTTACCCGTCGCGCCACTCATCCAAACGAAACCCTAACCCGCGAAAATCGACTACCGCAGCCCCGATTCCACCACTTCTCAACCACTGCAGCCCCGAAACCACCCCCTCCCCTGTTTTCCGGCCACGATAAACCCTATTCCCTCACCTAAAACCACCAAAAATCCATTTAACCAAAAAACCCGAAATCCTAGGAAACGGGTTTTCTGGGTTAAACCCAAAACCCAAAAAGGGGATGCAGTGGTGGCGTTAATTACTGCCTGGTAGTGCGTGTGGGAGCAACGAAAGGAGTAGGATGCGTGGTGCTGGCTGCTGACCTGCTGTGTTGGTGCGTCTAGGGGCAACGAAGGGAGATGCGGGGATGGTCGGTGCTGCTCTTGTTGGTTAGGCGGTGATGCCAGGGGAGTGAAGAACACAGGGGAGGGGAAGAGGTGGTGGGTGGGATTTTTAAAGCTCAAAAAAAATGTGGGGGTGGGGTCGCTGGAAATGGAGGGGGAGGGGGGCTGACGGAGGGGGTGGCAGTGGGGTGGTGGAAGGTGGTTGGACGGTGGTTGGGTCTTACTAACAAAAATAGTAACAGTTAACGGAAGCACTAATGGCAAGTTAACGGCGAGGGCACAATATAGTCACTTTTCATGTTTTAGGGTTACAGCGTAGAAAGTCATATATGTTAGGGCACAACGTAGAAAAGTGAAAAAAACGAGGTTACAACGTTTATAAGAACAAAATCACTTTATTGTAGTATACATAATATATATTGGAAAATTAAATCTAATTACTCTAAATATTTATGGGATTATTTAAAAAATAAAAAATTCTACCACTCACTAAAAATATATTTAAAAAATTTGATTACGGAATACCATTAAGTTTATGGTTGAGAATTTTTAAAAGTATATGGCTACCAAAGATACGTAAAAAAAGGTTGGCTACCGTTAGAAAAAAGCAATAGTAAAGGGCTACCATTGAGAATTTCCCTTAAATTGTCATATTATGCCGGTCAAGTGTGTTAACAATTTAAGGATAATTGTATATGAGTTCGTATATGGGTACTAACCTAAGCTAATATTTTAATTTTCTTATATAAAACTACCTTAATTTCTATTAGTATATTTTTTTTATATACAATTCAATTCAATAACCTTTACATATTTGGTATAAACTAAAATTCAAGTTATTTTGTTACGAATAATTTTTTTGGATAAGTTATTGTTGAATTAACACCATTATTTATAATTTATTTGTAGTAAAATTAAATTTAATAATGACCGTGCATGACACGGGACTTAACCTAGTTTTATCTAAATATATAGCTAATGAAAGGAAATTCACATTTAATTTTAAAATAAAAATATTAAATGATATACTACGTACGGAGAAACATCAAACATATTTATTCAAACATTCATACAAACAATTATTCAAACACATACACAGGGCCGTCTTAACAATTTTGGAGGCCCTCTGCTACCATAAAATTTGGGCCTATAAAATTTTACTAAGTTCTTCGTAGTTCATATGGGTATATGTTATACACAACTTATCACATTAAAAAATTATGATAAAAACAATTTATTTTTTAACAATATTTGAGAGCAACAATAGTTTTAACTCTAAAAAGACATCCACATTCAAGCTTAATTTTTTTTTAAAAAAAAAACAAGCAAGCGGGATATTATTAGCTTAAATCAATCTCCGCCTAAGTTGTTAAACTTTGAGGAAAAGCCAACATACAAATACGTTCCGATGAGATAGAAGTATCCCACCTAAAAACACAATGTGCAACAACATTCCCACCCCGCTTTACATGTAAACAATTAAACGAATTAAAGTACCCACCTAGCAACGCAATTAAACGAACGTAAACAATTACGAATGACCTCATCATAGAACAAATAGACAGGAGCAACCCCTTTTGAATGCGATGCTAAAAATAAATTGACAAAAAAATTATTGTATTATATGTTTTTCACAATTCAACAATTAATAGAATTAGAAACAAAATAATTTGGAAACAATAAAGCTTGTAAGAAAACATATTGGAAATAAGATTAACCTGACTGAAATTGGGAGTGTTGCCTAATATCTTACTTCAGAATTTTAACTTGATCCCTTGATGATTTTGCAATAACCCAATTCCCCTATAGATTCATCCCTAATGCCCACTTGTTAACTAGTACTTTGCTATAATTATACGAATTTACTCTGATTATACGAATGAAATTTATTGAGTTAGTGATAGATAGATAGATAGATAGATAGATAGATAGATAGATAGATAGATAGATAGATAGATAGATAGATAGATAGATAGATAGATAGATAGATAGATAGATAGATAGATAGATAGATAGATAGATAGATAGATAGATAGATAGATAGATAGATAGATAGATAGATAGATAGATAGATAGATAGATAGATAGATAGATAGATAGATAGATAGATAGATAGATAGAAATGTTAA